ATTGAAATAATTTGATAGCTTTTTTATTTGCCTGCGCACGTTCCATATATTACAGTGGTACCAAATGATAGGGTAAACCATACTTCTTCATGAACATATACCGTATTCTTTGAGTCTTAAAGAATAGAGACATTTCCGCGCTTTAGGTTATAATACGCGAGAAAACGTAAAAAGCGCGCGATTGATGAGTCCCGCATCAAAAGTTAACAGAACAAATTCTCTACAAATCATAACTTTCAATCATGATGAATTCTCATTTGAAATAAAGACGCACATGTCATTTTGATGTAATGATTATCTATTGATATTATTAATGATTATATCTTGTAGGATTTGCATATAAATTCATCAAAAATGGAAGATTAGGACAAAGATTTCAATTTTATAGTTCAGAATATTTGTCTTGGTTTCCATGTTTATTCAATTTTAAATCGATGTTTTAATTGAAGTTGCTTGGTTTGTTTTGAAATACCTTTTCATCGATTCATTCCTTAGATAGAATGTAGGTAATAAAAATGTAATGTGTCATTTTCATAATTTTATGTACATGCTTCAGTGAATTTCGAAGGAATTATGACGTCGTCGAATGTTCGTCAAATTGCGAGAATATTTTTGGAAACGTCACATTTCATTGTTTCCTGTGAAACGGGAGTGTGCACCAATAGCGTACTTATAGTAATTCCTTAACCCCTAGAATGCCTATCATAATAACATTCTTTTGTCTTGGCCACTTAATATGTTTTGTTGCTGTCTGATCATCAAATCAAATTGTTGTTATTTAAAGATGTCAGTCAAATCTGGTGAAACAGCACAACATTTACCTAAATAGCACGAGTACATATTATGTAACTCATTCATAATATTTCATGCATCAGGTATTAAGGCTTAGGGGATTAACTTTTACACATAAACTGAACTGACAGATGTGTACGCTTACATGTACAACTTCCAGGATTGTAAGAATTCAAAACTTGTTGATAGCCATATTTTCCTGAATGTGACATCGAGATATTATGGCATTTATGAGTGGTAAAACATGAAAAAAAGCATTTTCATTTAAAATTAGCATATGATTTGAACTGTATCCGTTTTACATCCATTGCAGTTGGCTACATTATAAGACAAGGCATTCACATGCAAAATGTCAACACATGCCATTTGTAACAGACACCAACTGCCAAACACCAACTGCCAAATGATAAACACCAACCACTGAACACAGTCTACAAAAAAAGTTTGAGACCATAACAATATGTCACCACTTGTGGTGGTGACATAAAAATGATCATGGAAAATTGTATTTTAAAAAAAAAGTAGGAACTTCTGAGGTTATTAGAAAATTGGAAGACAAGGAAGGATTCTGGGAAGAATATTAGGGTTATAAATTGCAATGAAACTAAAACAAAACATTCTTTTTCTCAAATATCACAGTGTATATTCAAATCACAAATACGATATCATACAATTACAATAAGGGTCTAGTGCACTTTCCATTATGATATCCCCATGAACAAAATGAATCATTTTTAGGTGTAACATAAAGAATACAATGTCACATAATACTTTGGAAAATATTTGAGCGTTTGGACCCACATGGGCTGAGGTTGAGGTCATTTAGTTCAGCAAGGGTGTATTGACTTGCCATTGAATGGGCTCCATTGACTTAACATGTGGATATCATCAATTCCAATAGAGGCCATTGGTTTCTATTGATTTTCACAAAAATACCTAAAATACACTATGACCTGAATCGATTGCAAATCGATAATTTCACAGTATGACACAAATGGTATATCACATCAGATGTGCAAATATAAAGTTTGCAATCGATTCAGGTCATACTTCAAATTAAAAGATTATACATTTTTCCATCATTTTTTTCCTACAAAATGGCTATAGAAAAATGCTTCAAAAGCAACTTTTATACTAATGAAATCCCATACAACTTTCTAAATCCAAAGATTATACTGTTATGTTTCATTAATTAATAACATATTTGGATAATATGTTGGGATGTGTAAGATGCAAATGGATTTTGACAGACACAAAAAGACTTCTTGGTTTTTTATCTCTACCCCTGTACAGTTTATGATTGAATATTGGCCCTAATAAGTGGCCCATTCATCAATACAGTGCTGAATATAGGTCAACAAGATACTAGTGTACATATAAATGTAATAATACTGTAATACCTATAGCTAGGTCTGAATATTAAACTCCAGCCAAATAAAGCCACCACAATATTTCAACCTTTGTAACCCTTGCAAAAAGATTTTCTTGCAATAAAAATGTAAAAATAGCTTAGGGTACTTGTAAGCCAATCTGATTTTAAGGTAGACATGTCTCGATATTTTTCAATAATTTTCATGATTATAAATACCGATAATCAATGAAAGGGACAATATTTTCACATTTGTAATTGTATGTGTATGCATGGTCCATGTGTATGTTACCATAATTCTTTATATCCACTTAAAATGTCAAAAATATTGCCCAATTTATAATTATCAGATAATTTATTCATCACCAAAATTAGTAAAAATTATCAACATGCAGACCTACCTTAAGAGTTTAATCTCTCACTCAGTCACAATCATGTCAACCAAAACTGTACTCGTGTTACATAATATAGGATTATACAGCTTACCATACGTGTGCAATCTATAGCATCCACACTGACATCTTTACAGAATCATATATAATTTTTGAATATAAACTAACTCAACCCAATAAGGCGAGTACTAAAGAATTTACTTACCTGCCATCTAAAAATCTGCTTGGAACTACCATTGGATTCCTCCAAGAGAATATTCTAGGGATTATGGAATGCATTCAGCTTACATGATTTGAGAAATTATTGGCATACGTAAAACCTATTTAAAACAGCATTTATCATATTCAAAAGCGTTGAGCATCAATGATTCCCAGCCCTCTGAAGTTTGAAAAATAAAAATACCTGGGTGTTAATCCATGGATTATCTTTGAAAACGAGAAATATATTTTTGGATTACATGGTGTAATCTTAAAGTAAACAAAAGTTTTAAAGTGTATTGATGTTTTTTGGATGAAAAACATAAGCGAAATTCATGAAAAAAATCCCCCGATTCATTCTACAAACAACTCGCCCACCTTTGAAGTAAATCCAGCAAGTGGTTTTCCTGGAATCGTGATGACAAGAAAGTGAGACGCCGCCTGCCCGCTGCCCACCCATTAAGCTGATGGCACTTCTTACCCTTTTTAGGTACGATAAAAAGCTGGAGACTATTATTGTATGATTTTTCCTGGAAACATAATGAGTTGAACTTCAGCAAAATGTTATTTTGCAATAAGTCAACATCGTTTTTCACACCTTAATATAAGTACTAATAAACAGACCTGAACTCTCTGTAGCCTAGGTATTTAAGGATCCCTGCTAAGGTGATCATACAGCTATGTAACAAATATATGATTTGTCTTGTAATATGTTTCATCCCTAATACATTTTGCTCCTAGCATTAACCGTATGATACCATCAAGTTCATGAGGTCTGGTTTATACTCATGCAATATCAGCTACCATTGTTACCACCAAACATAATCATGGTATAATGAGGTCTGGTAACAAGTATCCATGTATATAGATAGAACTTAGTAAGTATCAAAATAAGTAATAAGTATCTATGTATGATAAATAAAGGTTATGTACTGGGAGGTTTTGGATATGGGGCTTATTCAGAGGGAGATATGGATATCTACCCGAGGGACCGACGGTAGATGTGCATATCTCACGAGGGATGAACCCCAGGCCCATATCCAAACTGACCGTGCATAACTGCATTATCCTATACCCAGTAGAGTTTTATATTTTTTTTCAATTTTTCACATTTTTTCTCATATCTTCCACTAATGAGGGAAGATATGCCCTGGAGAGCGAGATATGAAGGTTCTGGATATGGAAACCTCAAAATCAGGATATGGGATATATCTTAACAACTTATCTCCCTAAAACTCTACTGGGCATAGGATAAGTACATGTATCCATTGTATATATATAGGGGGTCTCAAAAAATCTACCCAAAAGTATATCAACAGCTCAGATAAATCAACCAATATTTTCAGACATTTTTTGCATGGCCGTGTAGTCAATGCATGTAAGTTTTCTCCCCATGCACAGTTTCTAGTTCAGTGTTGCCTTTTTGGTGTTTTAACCCTTTATACACTACATAATCAATGTAACCTCATTGTCTTGTAATGACAGCCTGTATCCTTACTGCTACATCGTTCATCACATTTGATAATGTTTCTGTTGAATGTTCTTGATATCTCTCTGGATGTTGGCCTGAAGTTGTTCTGGGTCTCTTGGCTTGATATTATGAATAATATGCCCATTCAAACAGCTCTGGAGAAACAACGAGGTGACGATGGAAGAACAACAACAGTGAACCGGGTCAATTGTCTTCAAATGATTCAAGAGTTATGTAGGCTAGTTCAGAGACCGAATTAAATCGGAATGAGAACACAGAGTGGTTTAAAAAAGATGGTGGCCCCTCCATACACAGGAAGGGCCAAACAATAATTCCTATGAATGCAGTTTTCTGAATGTCTGTATAAAGACATTGCAAGGGCCTCCCTATTCACCAGATTTGACCACCCTGGACTTCTTTCTCTGGGGCTATTTAAAGGACCATATTTATGCCAATTTCAAGCCAAGAGAGCTGGAACAACTTCAGGACAAATCAAAGAGAAATCCAAAACATTCCACTAGAAACATTCCCAATGTGATGGACAATGTTCCGATAATGATGCAGGCTGAGGGGGTTACATTGATTATGTGGGATAAAAAGTTAACAATCAAAGCATCAAAAAGGCAAGACTGAACTAAAAACTGTGTATTAGGGAGAAAACTTACATGTTTTGGCTACATGACCACACAAACAATGTCTGAAGATATTGATTGGTTTATCTGTGATATTGACATACTTTTGGGAACATATTTTTGATACTGATAAGTATGTTTATCACGCTTACTGATTATGATTTCCAATCAATTCATAAAAAAAGATTAAGAGTCAAGCAATTTTTTTATATACAGTCTAATGAAATATAGTTTATTTTTGAGATTTTTACAGTAATATTACACGTTAATGTTTACAACATACAACATCGTTTGATAGTCCTTTTGTCCATCTTCATTATTGTAGCATCTTAAAAGTCCTACAATTAGAACTACCATCTTTCAAATATAAGGACTGATGATAAGGCCATGACAGCATTTGGAGTCCATAGTTCAAAAGTCCTGAGTTCAAAAGTCCTCAATGTGTCAGATCTACTACCACGATGGTGCGGTATTTGCCAACCTCCTCATACGCCTGGAAAGAAAAAATTGATAAAGTTATTTATCCATTGTACAAAAAATACAACAAAGCAATAGTGACAATAGTTTTTCTATTGATAAATGAGGGGATCATATTAAAAGAAATGGCAGACATAATACATTATCTATGATCCGTACATTATAAGCGTATGTCATCTTTGAACTTTGGGGTTAATCCCTTCTTGCTTATAGCAAACATGCATAGGTCTGGTGACACACTGAGCCCAGTAACAGTAATGAGTCAGTAGAACACTTTTGATACACCTTGATAGGTGAAATTCAATAGAATAGAGTAAGTAGAAATAATCTTGATTAACATCATTAAATATTCAAAATTTAGCCATAGTGATTTAATATTTGAGATCTGCATACAAAATTATATCTAGAAACATGGTTTTAAAAATTGTTTATCAACTCTGAAAATGTATTTTTCTTTAAAAAAACGACCTTTATGTCATTGATTTTCCATAGGGCCAGTGTAAAAAAATCACAAAACGTGAAATATATTTTTTGTATTAGAAAGATAACATTTTCTTTCACTAGACATATTTTCATCAGCTGTACACAAAACAGTTATATGAAAATTGATTTACTAAATCTGAGTTTAGGAGTATTTTTCCTTTATCTGCCATAGTCTGCCATGTTATCTGACCTAAATGCCACCTATTGGTGAAACTGGTTAACACCTACTAACTGGCGCCCTGGGTATTGTATTACTCATATTATAAAGTCTTTTTAAAATTGTTAATTTTGTCAATATTTTTTCAATAAAGTTATTGTTTATCTTTCTCATACAACTAAAAAGTAATGAATGCTCTATATGATAAAAGTAATATTGACAAAATATGCCACATCTTAAATGACATTAATTTAATATATTCAATAATGAAAAGGAGTAGATTAATGGAAATCCATCAAAGGAAGCATTTCTGATTAGATGAGTCTTTAAATATTGACAAATAATAAAGTTTTTTTCTAGTTATATTGACAAAATACATAAGTTACATCTTTTAAAATAACCTTACAGATCAACTTTTAGCCTTAAAGGCTCACTTTGCATATTTCCAATGTTTTTGGGCAAAATAAAGACTTACATTTGAATTTCATAGTATGTCCAATGTATATATTTTTTTATCTTTCATTTGACATAATCAACAGCTCAAACGGACCACATCAAAGCTTGAAATAAATCATCAAAAGATAATTTCGATTAATTTCAAGTTTTATATATCAAGTTTTTATAAATGTCATTGAAAGATGGCGAAGTTGTATGTATAACACGATACATTCATTTTTTATAGTAGTATCGTCTTCTTTTAAATCAAGAGCAATTTAAAACATGCACTTTATTTAACATGTGCATGCACTACAAATGATCACTGAACTTCAAATGCTTTATTATATATGAGTTATTTTTTTCTTGGTTAAATATTACAGAAAATAAAACTTTGTGTCATATTCAAGCGAGTGTGTGAGTAACATGTTTCAATGATTATTTTTTTCTTGATTCTTCTAAATTAGGCATAGTGGACCTTTAAGCTTTCAGATCTACTTCAAGCCTTAATGATCTATTTTCAAGACTTCACTCCATAGAAAAGCAACAAAGATAAAATGGATTTCCAATTTTAGTCATTTTTTAGTCATCAAAATTCTGAGATATTTTCCAAAGTGTGAACTCCTTTCTTATAGCTTAATTGAGAATCACACCTTTTTAAACAAAATACCATCATGGATTCAACATTATGACTATCAGATTATTTCTGCCATACTAGTATTTAACTAAGATACAACAATAACTCAAACAAAAATTCTGTTTTGTTCTACTTGTACACATATTCATTATTTGTTCTACTTGTACACATATTCATTATTCAGATCATTACATAATACCAGTGATCTCCCCAGCATTAAAGCAAGTGGGTGCAGCACCCACCTGAGATTATGAAAATAAGCTTGCAACAATGCACCCACATGCAAATACATTTGCACCAACTTGAAAATGAGAAAAATCATGAAAAATGGAAATATTTTGACCAATTTTGGTCTGAATGAGAATTTTGCACCAACTTGAGAAAAAATCGTGTGGCGATCACTGTGAATGGTGAAGCTAATTTTGCTTTAAAATGTTTTACTATAGATCACCCTAATTTTTGTAAAAGATACATAATCCATTCCAATTGTTGTACAAATATCTATTGTATTTGTAAGTTATTGTACAAATATCTATTGTATTTGTAAGTTATTGTACAAATATCTATTGTATTTGTAAGTTATTGTACAAATATCTATTGTATTTGTAAGTTATTGTACAAATATCTATTGTATTTGTAAGTTATTGTACAAATATCTATGTATTTGTAATTGTAAATAATTAGAAATGACAATAAGGAAGACCATTATTTGAACTGATGGAGACAAACATATATAATACATGTATATCTTTCATCAATAGCCCTAATATAACACAGCTTCCTAGATGTACCAATAGGTGGCAGGGTCTATCGGAAAGGTCTACTGGTTTACTTGTTCCACTCTATGATATATAATGGATGATTTCACCCTATGAATATGCTTACCTAAGGTCTATGTGCAGTTTGGCAAGTGATTTTAGACGGTCATATCTTTCAACATGAGTACTTTCTGGTCATAAATACAGTAGTTTTTATTAAAACAATATGTTTTCTTTCAAGTGATAGTAAAATGTCAATTCAGCTCTCTGAAGAATTGTGAATGAGGACCCCACCTTGGCACTTTTTAAAAAATGTTAAGCTTATTTTCTAAAAAGAGGATCTTGGTTTTCTCAATTCAAATATATCAAAAGTTCCTTCTTCACTATATTAACAACTTCTGAAAAGGGATGGGTAGTGAAATGCGATAAAGTTAAAAAGCTCAAATCCCATGTTATTATCCCATAGAGATTGTTTTCAGCTTACCTTGGTCATCGAAAATTGATATCTTCAAAACTAGACTTTCAATACCATTCTACATTTTTAGACGTTCTAGACCCCTTATTCAATAACCTTTTATTGCAATATAACTCAGAAAAAGAATATCCTTTTTTGAGTAAACAGGTTAACATTTTGAAAAAACTGTTGACAATGGGGTCCCTATTCATAATTTTTCAAATTGCTTGATTGATTTTTTTTTTTATCATCATGGGTACTTCACTTGAAAGAAAACATATTGTGTTTATTCCCAGAAAATACTCATGGTGAAAGATATGACCATCTAGAATCACATGTCACACTGCACATGGATCTGTGGCGCTACTTATTTTGGCTGATTTGCTGTTTTTGAACATTTGGTGGCAACTTAATTTGGCGGATAGCAATATTTCAATACACTAGTACTAATTTACATAGTACTAAAATTATTGAGGAATTTAGCGGCTACTTAATTCGGCGGACTTGAACAATTTGGCGAATACGCCAAATTAATACGGCCACCAAATTAAGTATAGTACAGTATAATAGTACAATAACGTCATTTCAAAGGGTAATATAGTGAAATATTGGACCAAGGGCCGCAGGCCCAAGGTCCAATATTTCACAATTTCGCCCGCAGAAATGACGTTATTACTATTATTACCACCGTTAATGACCAAGGCTGAAATAGCTTTGGAATAGAAAATCTTACCCACTGAACGATATCACTTTTCCCGGGAAACATAGCCGGGCGGATAATGTCATTATTGCCAGACTAAAGTCATCAATATAGCAATTTAAACGCCTTCTCAACTAGTACTAAAACCCCTAGAACAGGCCCTGCAAGGTGGTAATAATGGCAAATAGAATACTAACCTTGTATTTCGATCCTGATCACGTATCTTTTTCTCCATTTCAGCATCAGTCAAGGTCTCCAGGAAAGGACACCAATTATCTGCCTCGTGCTGGTTCCTTATTGCAACTTCAACTGTTGGTAATGGGGCTTCACTGAAAATACAGTTAATTCAAAAAATGTAAAGCCAGTGTATAGTTTGAATTATAACTGTACATCCATTTATTAAGTCTTGAGGTACCTATGATCTTTGAATCAGATTAGTGATGATATGCCAATCAGACCATTAATGATATGCAAATCAGATTATTGATGATATGCCAATCAGATTATTGATGATATGCCAATCAGATTATTGATGATATGCCAATCAGACCATTAATTATATGCCAATCAGATTATTGATGATATGCCAATTAGACCATTAATGATATGCCAATCAGACCAATAAAGATATGCCAATCAGACCATTAATGATATGTCAATCAGACCATTAATGACATGCCAATCAGATTATTGATGATATGCCAACCAGACCATTAATGATATGTCAATCAGACCAATAAAGATATGCCAATCAGACCATTAATGATATGTCAATCAGACCATTAATGACATGCCAATCAGATTATTGATGATATGCCAACCAGACCATTAATGATATGTCAATCAGACCATTAATGACACGCCAATCAGATTATTGATGATATGCCAATCAGACCATTAATGATATGCCAATCAGACCATTAATGATATGCCAATCAAACCATTAATGACATGCCAATCAGATTATTGATGATATGCCAATCAGACCATTACTGATATGCCAATCAGATTATTAATGATATGCCAATCAGACCATTAATGATATGCCAATTAGACCATTAATGATATGCCAATCAGACCATTAATGATAGGCCAATCAGACAATTAATGATATGCCAATCACCATTTACAATATGCAAATCAGAATTAGAGATATACAATGTCAGATTGAAAACTACAACTGTGCATAGAAGTGCATCACTTTCTTAAATATAAAATATGTTTTAGTCTATATGCTTTAAAATGTTCTATAACCAGCTCGTGCACTCCTTATTTCAATATACATTTCTAGAAAAACTCGCCTTCACAAATTACTGTACATTTAACAAAGGTTGACAAAGGATACAGTCAAAAGTATGCCATAAAAATGGCATATCTGATTGATATAGATTTTTAATATGCCTTTCATAACATAATGTTTTCCATTACTCAAGTGTGCGCTGACTGCATCCGTTCTTTCGTTGGCAAGTTGAATTAGGAATCAATATCTTAATTCATATTGACCGCTTGGACCAACTTGTTTGATCAATATGATAAAAAAGTTTTTTTTCCCCATTTTATAACATAAATAAACAAGAACACAAATGTGTACAAAATGTCCCCACCTATGGGTCATCCCGTCAAATGGTTATCCTAAAAATGAGTAGAAAAGACTTTACCGACACAAGTTGAGGACAGAAAATCCAAAATGGCCACCTTAAAATTTACCCAGAATGCCCAAAAATTAGTCAGTTCTAGATTTTCATACTAAGAACCACCCTTAAAAATTTGAAATTGATCCGTCACACAGTTAACCAGAAAACATGTAAACAAGATTTTACAGACAAGATTTGAGGACAGAAAATCCAAAATGGCTGCCTTGACATTTACCCAGAATGCCCAAAAACTAATCAGATCTAGATTTTCATATTAAGAATCATCCCTGAAAATTTGAAATTGATCTACCAAACGGTTCACCTGGAAACCGCGTAGACAAGACTTTATAGAAAAGATTTTAGGATGGAAAAAACAAAATGGCTGCCTTAACATTTACTATGTACGCCCAAAAACTAATCAGATCTAGATTTACATACCAAGAATCATCCCTGAAAATTTGAAATTGATCTACCAAACGGTTCACCTGGAAATGCGTAGACAAGACTTTACAGACAAGATTTTAGGACGGAAAATCCAAAATGGCTGCCTTGACATTTACTATGTACGCCCAAAAACTAATCAGATCTAGATTTTCATAATAAGAATCATCCCTGAAAATTTGACATTAATCTACCTAACAGTTCACCTGAAAACGCGTAGACAAGACTCACAGACAAGATTTTAGAATGGAAAAATCCAAAATGGCTGACAATAAAAAAGTGATTATGAGTTTTTGCCGATTTCTTTTTACAAAATTATCACAAATACCTACTGTTAACAATAACATAGGCTTTTACAAGAACTGCAATGCTGTATATGCAATGTTGATGTGAAAAAGCCAGTCGGTCCTGTAGCTCAGTGGTAGAGCACTTGCCCGGAAAGCGAGGGGTCGTGGGTTCAATCCCCACTGGGGTGGACTGACTTTTTCACATCAGCCCTTAGCACAGGATTTCATTCTGTGTTTTCATTAACCAATACTACTTATCCTTAGGGGGAATGGCCCGTGGGAAAGTCCACGTGACATCATGAATAGAGTGATTGACAACCTGGAAAGACAGGTAACTTATATGGGGTCCAGGAAACTGGGCATGTAAGACATGGCTGCAATGCTGTATGTGCAATGTTGATGTGAAAAAGCCAGTCGGTCCTGTAGCTCAGTGGTAGAGCACTTGCCCGGAAAGCGAGGGGTCGTGGGTTCGATCCCCACTGGGGTGGACTGACTTTTTCACATCAGCCCTTAGCACAGGGTTTCATTCTGTGTTTTCATTAACCACCTGAAATTATTTATAATGCTACTAAATAGTCAAAATATGAAAACTCAAAACACCATTCAATATGATACAAAGTATTATTGCGCGCTAACTTTTCTTCAGGCATTCAAAATGGCTACCATGACTGAGCTTACAGGTCCAAAACCTAATCAGATCTAGAATGAAGTGAGCTGAACAAGATGTTTAAGTTTTAAAAGCAACTGTGAAGCCGTTTTTCTTCAAGTTTGCAGTACAAGGATTTTAGCATTTGACTTCAAAATGGCCGACAGGAAGTAGATAATGAATTAAAAAAATTTCATCCACATATGTATGCACTCATAAGTTACCCCTGAAAATTTGAAGGGGATATCTGTAGCGGTTTTGGAGAAAACTGCCGGACGTACGATGGACAGACAGACGGACGGACGGAAGTGACTAGGCCGACAATATGGCCCCACACTATGTGGTGGGGACATAATTACTGTTTAAAGTAAAATGCATTTCATTGCCCAACTAGGACAGCAACTCCTGGAGTAGTAAATCCCACTGAGCAATACATACATCCTCTGATTACGAGACTTCAAAATCCAGAATACTGCTTTCTTTTTACACCCTGCGATAAGCAATTAGCATTTCCCAGATTAAGAACTCGCAATTTGATTCGCTGTTGTAACACTTCGACAGCAATCATGTATATGTCATCAGAGCATAATTAGATCATGTGATTCAGTTTAATCGGACGCTTCCAAATTGGTTATTCCAGGGGGGAAGAAGGAGGTACGGATTCTGGACACCTGCTTAAGAGGATGCTGGAGTAGTAGATCCTGCTATTGTTGACTATTGTTGACAGACAGATAGACAGACAGACTGACAAGATGATTGAGTGATTGAAATAACTCAGTATATGAGATAATAATATTTACATTCAAAAGAAAAATTGATGACAGTCAAGTAACAGAAATTCAAATTAGCACATCCCATTTTAATGTTCCTAAATCAATTCTCCAATAGTTGATTTCATCATTTGAAACTTGATGCATTTAACAAGTAACAATTATTCATTATTAAATTAAATGAACATCTACTGGGCAAACATGAACTAGTATAAAATCTGCAAGTTTTTCTGAACTTTACATTTCTTAGACCGCTTGTAGGTAAATCTCAGGTAAATGAAAGTAGTTTTTTTAATCATTTATTTCATAAATTAAGTTCATGGTAAATTATACATGTTATACCACCTAGGTTTGAACATAAACATTATTGGCAGCAGTGAAAGTAGTCATATGAAATATTTTAGTATTATGTGAAATATAACAATGATTTTGTTACAAGATAACATTTCATTTCAATAAGTGATTCATATATTTAATTTCAGAGTTTTTTGTTGTTGATATATCAGGTTTAAGTGACATTTTTTAATCATAATGAAGTTCTAACACAGTAATTTCCTATTTTATGTTGAAGTTTTAACATGATATTTCTTAACTTTGTGCAAAAGTTTTAACATAAAATTTTTAAAACTTTATGTGTGTAAGTTTTAACATGACATTTTTAAACTTTATGTGTGTAAGTTTTAACATGACATTTTTAAACTTGATGTGTGTAAGTTTTAACATGACTTTTTTAAACTTGATGTGTGTAAGTTTTAACATGACTTTTTTAAACTTGATGTGTGTAAGTTTTAACATAACATTTTTTTTAACTTTATGTGACTAAGTTTTAAGGTGACATTTTTTTAACTTTATGTGTGCAAGTTTTAACATGACATTTTTTTTAAACTTTATGTGTATAAAAGTTTTAACATGAAAATTTTAAAACTTTATGCGTGTAAGTTTTAACATGACATTTTTGAACTTTATGTGTGTAAAAGTTTTAACAGGACTTTTTTTAACTTCATGTGTGTAAGTTTAACATGACATTTCTTAACTTTATGTATGTAAGTTTAACATGACATTTTCCTACTTTATGTTAAAGTTATAGCATGAAATTATTCAACTCTATCAGCTTAAGCTTTAACATTGCATATTTTTTATTTATGTTGTTATTTATGTTGATCATATTGATGTTAAACATTGTTGTTATCTTTATCAGGAAAACACTGTTGCTGAAGAAAGCTGCAGTTTTTTTACTCTAACTCATTGCTGGGCAAAGCTATTTTTGGAGGTTTTCTGCTGGTGACTGGCAATTTTGATGGAAAATTGAGCAAAATTGCATGTTTTCACATTAGTAAACAGATATAATTATGACATCATAGTTGAAATATCTTGAGGTTGGTCAGCAAGAGTTAATCAGCACAGAACCTCAAAAAATGTTATCTTTGACATTATTGTTTATTTAAGTTAAATGAAAACATCTTTGGTGAAGGTGGTTGGACATATACAAGTACTTTGCCGTTATTACCTTGGCCAATGAGATCTTTAGATCAGCACAGAACCTTGGAATATGTTTATGTTTGGCATTTTTATTTCTTTCTTTTCTTTTCTTTTTTTTATTTCAAAGAAAAAACATGTTTAAGCAATTGCAAAAAACAATTACAATACAGTTACATGTACATGTAAATGTACATTTTACAATGCAGTATTAGTTAAATGTTAGTGTTTGAGAAATTTTATACATTTTTATTTGTTGGTTTCAGAAATACAAGGATGAAGGTGGTTGCAGTTCTCTTGCTAGTTGCACTTTTTGTCAATGCTGATGCCGGCAAATCAAGCGGTGGCTCGTCCGGCAGTGGCGAGTCAAACGGTGTCAAGAAACGTTCTTGCAAGAAAGTGAGTACAGTGAAACCTTTATATCTGAATACTCTCCACTTATCAACATACATGAATAAACGCACAGAGCACACCGCGTCTCGAACTCGCAACCTTATGGTTACGGCGCCCAATCGCCTAGCCTGAACGTGCTGGCGCCTAAGCCCTCTCGGCCAATTCGACAACCCCAACTAGACAAGACTATTATGGGCTAAAACGGTTTATTGAATAAACGTAAAACTTATAATCTCAAACACATATACATTGAATACTAGAATAATCGTCCCCACATGAAGCATGATTCATAATAGTTAATACAAGGGTGTTGTGCATGACAGTTCTCACTCAATACAAGTACATTATAGATTTATATAAAGATGCCAGGTCGATCGTTCAGAATAATAAAAAAATGAATTTATGCACATAAATAATAAAATACCTTTCTCATCCAAACAACTCTCAGTATGAACACTTTTCTCAATCCCAAATTTGTAATCTCCAATTGACTTTCATGTTTATTAAACCTTGGAATGTAAACACCTGTTAAACTGAACACTTTTGGCTAGTCCCAGAAGTGTTTGGATTAGACAGGTTTTATACTTTTTAAGTGAGAATCTTACCCTTAGCCAATTAACATACGGTAGGTAAGTTGATTAGCAATGGGAATATTCAAGACTCGGCCAAATAATATGAGCCGATTAGAAATAAGAGTATATATAGTCTTGCAAATAATATAATTGTCTTTTTACGATAACTGATACATCAAAACTAAAATTCAAAATACAAATATGACCCCAATAATTTCTTCAATCATACAGGATTTTAGAAAGCAAATCATATTTTATAATTTAAGGGCAACACAGTCCCCGTGTTGTCCTCTGACTCCCCTCGCTGGTTCAGGAAGATCCAATGGAGATGGGAAATTATGTTATTTCTTTGAATGTTGAATTGATTGAGTTGGGTTAAATGAAAAGGAACATGACAAAACAATTTTGTGAACGTTTAAATCAAAAATAAACAAAATTTCTCAGAAATGTATAATGAATATTCCAAACTTAAAATGTTTAAATGTCAACATTGTTTAAAGGTAAGTCACACAAGATGATCTCACCCCAAGGGTTGCAGCATAATTGTATTTGAGTTTCCAATAGAGCGCTGATATCCCATACTATCTGTATTGGAGGATACATAGTAGCCTGGCCAGAACAAGTCATGCCTCTCTATTTTCTCAATAACTTTCTCAATTTTGAATATTTTTTCATGAAATTTTCACAGAATAAATTCCTAACATACAAATTTTTTTATATGGTAAATGCCCCATTAATTTTATTGTTACAACGTTTTAAAAAATAATGTCATATTCTGTTGATGGGTCATTATTGTATTCAAGAGGTTAAGTGATATCAAACACTATTCTTGCCATTGTGTTACCAATTGGAAAATATCAACACAATTAATAGATTATTTGTTATTTATATTAGACCTTTTATTAAATTGGCATTTTTTTAACAATATGATGTGAATTAGACGTTACCTTTCTGGACCACCATTTTTATAAAAAAGCTCATTAATACATTTATATTTACAGATTCGAGCTTTAATTGAGACACTTACAAGTAATTTGGAAGAGGTAAGGATAAAATAATTGAGATAAATCATAGAAGCTGGATAGATTAATTTGGACTATAATAATAGTTAAATTTTATACCATTTTGTTCAAAAATAAGTGATCTTTCTTTAGGGATGGATAGACCCCTCTCGATTATCAGTATTTAAAAGAGTGAATCTTTGCTAATGATTTGCAGTACATTTATTTATCTTGGGGCTATTAACAGTACTTCATAAAGTTACATATCAATTGTTGTAACCATGGATATAATGACATCCCAGTTATAGGACAATGGACTTCTTAACTTAATGAAGTTTCTGTAAATGGCCCTTAGGTCCATTTTGTGCCTGTAAATAAGCGAATAAGATGATGTATATTTACAGAAACTGGCACAAATCGAAGAACTTCAGGATAGTTTGGTAAGCAACAATAAAATTAATAAGATGCATCAATGTCTACATGTTAATTATGCATAACTTATCTTTATTTCAATATTCTAATTCTTTGTACATGTAAATTGATTGAATTAGCAATTGTTTTGCAATTTTCGTTTATTTTTCTGGTCCAACATGTTTATAAATAAACCCTTTAATGATGTACATTTATATTTACAGGGTTCAGTTGAAACACTTCAAAACGATTTGGAACAGGTAAGGATAAAACTAGATAATAGCACTGCCAAAGCAAAGTAAATCCCAGCCATGATTGCCATTTTTACAAGATCATTCTACCGTTTTTTCAGTTAAAGCAAAAATCGTAAAGTAACACACATAAAAATGGACACCATTTTCAAAATGGTCGCTCACTATTTTACACAAATTTTAACAATATTGCACATACCTACATGTAAATGGTGGCCATTTTGAAAAATGGCAACCTACTAGCCAAAGTGTAATAAGACAGGATGCCATGCTTATATTCACATACCAAATATGAACAAAACCGCGCCACTACTTTTCAAGTTACGGCAAAAATCATAAAATAGTGTGTTAAGGCTGCTATGTTTCAAGATGGCTGTAATGTGCTTCTTGAATATCTAAATTTCTAGCTAAAAATTAATATCCTTTTATTACTTTTTTACATTAAAAACAAATTGGTATTACAATTTCATATATTTTACCTAAATCTCTATAAAATCAGCACCAAAATAGCTGCCATTTTTAAACGAGTGGCCATTTTGAAAATTGGCATTTGAGCAGAACCTCTACTCCCATAGGTCATACAATGTATATAAAATATGAACAAAATCATTGCCCGGATGGACATACAGACAGATGGACAGATGGATGGAGGCATTCCCTATATTCCTTCAAATGTTGTTTGATGGGATAACGATTGAGATAAATCAAAATAGCTGGAAAGACCAACTATAGCGGAATGTTGTTAACAGTTTTTTCAGATACATGTGATCTTTCTTCTGATACATTACAGATCCCCCTCAATTTTCAGTATTTAAAGGAGTGTATCTTTGCAAGTAGATAGAGAAAGCTAATTTTTTTAGTACATTCATAAGCTAATAAGATGATGTATATTTACAGAAACTGGCTCAAATCAATGGACTTCAGGATAGTTTGGTAAGCAACAATAAAATTAATAAGATGCATCAACGTCTCCATTAGTGTTGTCGCGATTAATCGATACATCGCGATATACATCGCCAAAGCTGGTTCTGGCGATGCATCGATGTCTGAAACAAAACATCGATGTTTTTAAAAAAATTTAATTTGCTAAAAATCGCCCTTTCTTATCTTATTTTGACGCAAATTGCTTACCTTTTTCATGTCTTATTTCATTTTCAAATGTTTTCTGATATTCTTTCGCTTTAAAACTGTTTGAGCTAGTCGAAATGAACCATTAATCAAAAAAAAATTACTTTACTTTCATTTCACCGTTACTATGTTCCCGGATGTACCAGCGTACTCTTATTAATTTGTTCTGTTCGATATTTTAGTGCATTAGCGTTCCGTATTTCAGTGCACTTTTCTCGAACTTTTTCTCGATGTACATCGCGATGTGCATCGATGTTTACTACTGAAAATTGCCGATGCATCGATGTACGATTATGGCACATCGCGACAACACTAGTCTCCATGTTAGTTATGTATAACTTATCTTTATTTCAATATTCTAATTCTTTGTAAATGGATCGAATTAGCAATTTTTGGTAATTTTCATTTATTTATCTGGTCAAACATGTTTGTAAATAAGCTCCATAAATGATGTACATTTATATTTACAGGATTCAGCTCCAGCTACAATCAGTGACCTTGAGAGTCAATTGGCAGGGGTAAGGATAAAATAAAATGAATGAGATAAAGCAATGTAGCTTAACAAGGAGGATTAACTCCCAGAGTGCAACACTGATATGCTTGCCATATATGGGCATATCGTGATAACAAAATTCGAATTCAAACAGCCACCATTTTGTTCACTTCAACATTTGAATTGTGAATTTTGGTCTTGTTTCCAAACGAAAAATTCTAAAACTCACAAGAAAAGATCCAGATATTGGTTCAAATCTTTTGGACTGTTTATTTGAATTTATAGTTGGTTATAATTGAAGAAAATAACGACATTTCAACATTTTAATTGTTGGAAAATATTGAGTTTCGATCCTTGGAGCCAATCCACCTTGGTAGCTTGACTCACCAATTTTGATTGTAGTAAGTAATAAAAATACTGTTATATTCTGTTTTGCTTGGAATAAAATTATCTTTCTTTTGTAATATTATAGACTCCGTTTCAATTGTGACAACTTCACATCAATAGTGTTGCATGGGTTAAGATTAATTCATAAGTTTACTCATCACAATGTACAACTCCACATTAATAGTGTTGCATGGGTTAAGATTAATTCATATGTTTGCTCATCACAATGTACAACTCCACATTGATAGTGTTGCATGGGTTAAGATTAATTCATATGTTTGCTCATCACAATGTACAACTCCACATCAAAAATGTTGCATGGGTTAAGATTAATTCATATGTTTGCTTATCACAATGTACAACTCCACATTAATAGTGTTGCATGGGTTAAGATTAATTCATATGTTTGCTCATCACAATGTACAACTCCACATTAATAGTGTTGCATGGGTTAAGATTAATTCATATGTTTGCTTATCACAATGTACAACTCCACATTAATAGTGTTGCATGGGTTAAGATTAATTCATATGTTTGCTCATCACAATGTACAACTCCACATCAAAAATGTTGCATGGGTTAAGATTAATTCATATGTTTGCTTATCACAATGTAAAACTCCACATTAATAGTGTTGCATGGGTTAAGATTAATTCATATGTTTGCTCATCACAATGTGCAACTCCACATTAATAGTGTTGCATGGGTTAAGATTAATTCATATGTTTGCTCATCACAATGTACAACTCCACATCAAAAATGTTGCATGGGTTAAGATTAATTCATATGTTTGGTTATCACAATGTACAACTCCACATCAATAGTGTTGCATGGGTTAAGATTAATCCATATGTTTACTCATCGCAATGTTGCCTAATTTAGAGATGATTGACTGTAAAATGATTTTAATTTCATTATTTGTTTTACAGCAACAGGGTACACTCAATGACCAAACCACCGACATTGATGCATTAAAAGAGCAGTTAGTGGTAAGATGAAATCATTAAAAATATTTGTCTAAAGTAGTTACCTTGAGAAGCTTGCAATGTTAAATAATAAATATGAGGTATCGTACAGAAATATTAAAAAATATGCAAAAATTTCATTCAAAATTCGGAGAGAAAACAAAAAAAATAACATGATTATAGTTTTCTAATTCTTTTTCGAATGATATAGATAATGATTTTTGTTCCAATTAAAAGTTTTTTTATAGAGCTTGTTTTCGTTTTACTTACTTTTAAATAATAAAAAATAATATAGCGCAAAGAACAAGATTTGTCAAAACAATTACACTTTACTATACCTAACCCCTAGAAATACAATTAGATAAGCAGAGTATCTTATGTATTTCTAGGTTTTTTTTGAAAGTACATGTACCTTATTAAAGGCAGAATCAGATCTATGGGGGTGACAAAATTACAAGCAACATGTTCAATTGACCTATCAATCTGTTCCTTACAATCTCAAATACAATATCTCCCAAAAGAATTTCGATATATAATGAATTGGTGAAGTTATATGTAATGGGTTCAAGGTGCAAAAATGGGTGAAAATGTTTAAATTCTCCCAAATAATAAGAATGGTAACCATTTTAGAGAAAAATATTAAATACATCATTATGAAAATCTTTAGTTCTCTTGAAATAAAGTGTGCACTTTTGGGATTTTTAGAAAATAGACATGAAAAGGAATGACATAAGCCAGAAATATTCTGGAATTGAAATAGTGGTAGGCTGCTCCCAAGATCTGATTCTCTCTTTAACATGTAACAGTCATCAGACAAACCATTAATAAGGAACTGACAAATAAAAAATAAAAAAACATAATCTTTACTAATAAACCAAATGGGTTGCTCATGAACACCAAATGCAAAGTATAGTAGAGTGAATTACTAAAACCTAGATAACATATAAACCAGAAAAATGGATAAATTTTCTTTTACAGAATCCGTGTCGCGTCTGTGGTCAATCCGGAAGTAATTACTTTCCTGAATCTATTTGTACAATGCAAGGAAGGTACAATGCTGTAAGTCTCCAGGCATTTAGCTGTGGCTGCAGTTATAGGGCAATCCCAAATCTTTGGGCATTCGAATGTGACTCCTGTACTTCTAAATAAACTGAGGAGTAGATGTAACTTATGGACATTCGGCACAGAAGGGTAGCTAGATCCCAAAATTCACTGCATGAATCGATAAAGCAAACTCCAATGTGTATTATGTGCAATGAATTCTGGGAGATGTCTCTAAACCTTCACTTGATAACAAAATTTAATGTAGAAAAGACAGAAATAAAAAACTGACATTATAAGTAGATTGCAATGAAAACAGCTGTTTATTTCTTTTTCTTGAAATAAAAAAAATGTCATCTTACCTGAATGCGTATGTTCGCTGGTGCCAACTTAGCTGCCCACGAATGCTGTAAGATATTGTTGTGACAAATTCCCCACCCAAGCCTAAAGAACATTAAAGTATTATTATTTCGTATACATAAAAACTAGAAAAAAGAAGTTTTTGTCCCCATAGAATCTTTTGATTGACGAGGAATAGGCTGTCACCAAACAAAATACAGGGTGCCTATAAGGCCATTTACAGTTACATTGCAGAGTCTGTGTAAAGTGTTAAAATAATTGATTGACACCCTGTATAATTTAGGAACTATTGTGACCACCTTCTCTTACCTAACTCCGCACAAAGTTTCGTTGCAAATTCTTCTGGGCTGTTTTCTCGTTCACCCATATCCCATTCAAACTGATCTACCAATTAAGTGTAAATATGATTATGGACACCCTGTATAAAGGAACTATTGGAACCACCTTCTCTTACCTAACTCCGCACAAAGTTTTGTCGCAAATTCTTCTGGGCTGTTTTCCCGTTCACCCATATCCCATTCAAACTGATCTACCAATTAAGCGTAAATATGATTATGGACACCCTGTATAAAGGAACTATTGGAACCACCTTCTCTTACCTAACTCCGCACAAAGTTTTGTTGCAAATTCTTCTGGGCTGTTTTCTCGTTCACCCATATCCCATTCAAACTGATCTACCAATGATATGTTCCCGACGTGAATGTTCAACTTTAGGATTACTCGCTGGTCACATGACGCAAGGAGTTCTTCGGTGGGATATGCTTCAATTTGCTGCCGAATTGACTGCGCTACAGCCGGAATGAAATTGATCGGGTTGAGGTCAAGGTCATCGCAAAGGAGCTCTGCGAATTGCTCAGGTGTTAACTGTTGTTCTGAAGTCACAAAAAAATAAGACTGAATATCAACAATGTAATTAGTTACAAAAGAGTAACAATTGTTACATGTGCCAGTCACCACCCATTAGTTACATATGGCATATGGGTATAGTATAACAGTGGCACATAAGGATCATATGCTGAAGAGTGATGTACATTATGATTGAATATACAATACAATCTACCTTGATGCCAAGAGACGAGTTAAGACTTAATACTACCCTGTGATTAAGATAGGCAATACTACACTCTAATAAGACCTTAAAAGCCGCAAAAGTAACAAGACATTAAAATGCGAAATGTCATAACCTACCATTTGTTACAAATGCCAAACACCTACCGCCAAACACAAACACATTACCTACTTGCAGAATCTACATTTTGTCATCAAAAACTAGAGTTAAACAAAAAAAGATATTTTCAATATTCCACTAGAGTTTGCATAGCCCCCCTCCCAATGGGGAGGGTCAGTATTGTTATTGTCCCAAGGGTTTTGATTTTTACACAGTACTTTATTCACGGAGTAGGGAGTTTTGAAATTTTGACTATTATCACCAGCTATCATTGGTCCTAGGGTGGGGAAATTGACTCACTAGGTACCTCCTAGAGGGTAGCAAATTTAACAGCCCAATTTTTTAGTCTGTTAAAACCCCCTTTCTAGGTCTCACCTAGAATTTAAATGGTGCTGCCATCTTTTAATGCACCCAAACAACTAGGATATATATCAACCAGATTCCCTTTGTCATATGATGTAGGAAGCAGAGGTTGCAAACAAAAGAAAAAGAAATCTTGCAAAGTAGCAATGAGATAGTCCATGAGAGTGTAGTATGTAAAGGTTTAATCTAAAAAGGTTCATAAATTCAAAATTTCAGGCTCATTTGGGTCCAAATATTATGACAAAGGTCACAAAATCCAACTCCTGGGAAATACTGTGTGTCTTTTACCCTACCCACTTGAGGGGGGGGGTCATGCAAATCTTTGAATGGTGCATTAACTAACCATTTTTATTCCACGAGTCCCAGGCATATGAATTCCAAAATCATCACTACTCGGATGATGATCCCTGTCAAAATCCTACCACCCGTGACAATACTGTATGTCATATTTCTTACCCTCCACACTTGGGGGGGGGGGGGGGGCTCATGTATTAACTTACCATTTTTATTCCATGATTCCCAGGCATATGAATTCCAAAATCATTATGATCACTACTCAAATGATGATCCCTGTCAAAATCCTACCACCCGTGACAATACTGCATGCTATATTCCTTACCCTCCACACTTGGGGGGGGGGGGGGGCTAATGCATTAACTTACCATTTTTATTCCATGTGAAGCAGTCTCTGAGTTTCTGTCCGTCAAACTCCATATCCAGCCTGATGGGCACCAAGACTTCCGGTTGGGCGGCATTTTCATGAATTGGTCCAGGTTCAGAGTCGTCAAAGCTAAAACAATAAAATGGCTGCCTTAAACTTTACTCAGTATGCCCAAATTCAAATTGGTTCTTGAATTAGCAAACCAAGAAACATCCCTTAAAAATTCTCATTCAAGCAGTTTTATTGTGGTCAAAGACGAAACCCAAAAAATGATTGGCTACACAATTTACCCAAAAAGTTCTAGAGTTTCATTTCAATTCTTAATCTCAAGCACTTCAATACTAAGTCTTCAAAGCTGAAACCAGAAATTCATCACTGCCTTAAAGTTTACTCAGTACATGCAAAATTTTACTTAATGTTTTAATAGAATGTTCTCAATCTCATATTCCTTGCAGATAGCTCTGGAGATGCTGGTAATCAGGGGTTGACAAAGAAGGGGTTTTGATGGTGGGTTATTTGGGGCTGATTGCCTTGGGCTAACAAAATCATTGTCATGTTGCTAGGGTTTTGTTTTAGAGTAACTGACAGTATGTTTCATGGTTAAGTGGTTGCTATAGAAACAGATAAAACGTACCTTTACAACAAGATTTATCAGAGCATTTTCAAGGAAGAACAGAGTGAATTTAGTGAATATTTTGCTTCAGATTCATTAGGGATGTTTAAATTGGCCCTAGAATTCTTCTATAATATACTGTGTCCCAGCCTTGCCAAGTCTATTTCAGACTATGCTAGAAGGTCTACTATGCAGGTCTAATTTTAGTCTACTTTCTGTCTATAGAAATTAGCGCAAGAATTTCAGATTTCAGGCTAATTTGTGCCCATGTCTTACACAGTGATCTACTTTACAGATTCAAATCGCCACACTGGCAGGTTGCTGTATCTTTTGAATTAAACAAACTACAAGCATCATCTCTTCAGACCTTATAGATGACGCTTGGTTTTTGATTGTATTAGACTTTGGGGATTGGTATATCACTCATACTAGTATTCCGTGATTCCGCGTCGTCGTATCGCGGAAAACATGATTTTTCCAGTCAACCATCTCATCTCATATTTGTCACTCACCTAAACACCCAAAGACTCCGCTCCTTTGTTGTCAGATACTTGTGTTTTGTCAGATTATCAAGAGGAAATCTGAAATCTCTTTTAAATTCTCGAACTTCCGCCTTTGCACTTAGAGGTAAGACTGCGTCTAACATAATCACGAAATTTGAAACCAATGACTGTCCCTCATAATTGTTTCACTGTGGTCCCGGGATTTGTCTGACGGGGTAAGCAGCGTGGCGCCCTCTTTGAATGAACGTGAGAGTCTTTCTACTGATTTTCGAGAGAGGAGTGAAAATTAACCGACTTTATGCTCCGAATTCGTGAAAACAAATTACAGATTGCTCAAACTTTTTGGAATTATCGTAAAAAGGTGAGTTTCTTGTGCATTTTGCCATGTATCTTGGCCAATTTGTGACAATATAATTTTATTATGGCTTTGTTGAATAAGCCCACTGTCGAAAAGTGCATATATCCTCTAGCGCAGTGACATCTTTAAAACCCATCGGCTTTATTTCAATGTTACTTTTTTATGACGTTTTGGACCACAGTGTTTTGCAATAATATGTCTAATACTGCATTCTATTGTAGTTTAACGCAATAAATCATGCTTCTTCTTGCGTTTTACTTCGTCATACTCATATATAAATAGACGACATCTGAATTGCCTGCATATTGATCTGGAATTTCGTGATAGTTCACAAGTGAGCATTTGGTAAGTTTTGTCGCTAATTAATTAACATTGCATCTGGTGTTATTATCGCTGAATAAAGCAGCATGAGTGGATTTCAAGAATTGTTTATTTTGTGGAGAAAATTGTTGATTTTTAGCAAGAATTTCACTTTTTGTTGCACATACTTGTACCACAAAATTTCACTTTTCCCCGTGCAGAATTTGGCGCAGAATTTTAGATTTCATGCAGAATTTGGTGCAGAATTTGGCTTTTTCATGCAGAATTTCTGCGCAGAATTTGCATTTTTCTCATGCAGAAAACTAGGATGTGTGGTATATGAGTGTTTGCTTTTAACCAGGTTACATTATAAAATTCCAAATTTAAGTGAACAGATTTCTGTACATATAAAAATGTAGAACTTTAATGTGGTGGAAATTTATAGTGAACATATGAAAATCTGGAATTTTACTGTACATATAATATAGATTTTATTATACCATACCATAAAGGGAATGATCGCAATTTATTTCTTCCAATTCTGTTTCTGTTAATTGGTGTCGAACTCGGGACAGCATCGAGGTGATGAGATGTACTCGGGACAGTGGGAACCCAATTACTGCCACGTTTACTTTTTCCACTGTCTCCTCTGAAAAATATATCAATACGGGTGACACGATCTCGGCAAAAAAACAGAATTAGTTCAAAAGGACTTAATATCAAAAATACCCAAAAAATTTCAAAGGTTCAAGTGCATGGCAAGTGATTGAAACAAAACATATTATTTTAATAAAACCACTGTATTTATGCCCAGAACATGTTCATGGTGAAAGATATGACTGTGACAGTCTAAAATCACTTGCCATTACTGCACATGGACCTTTTTGACAGCCTCCAATTAGTACCATCAATAGACCTTGATAGCTCCTTACCTGGCCGATCTATATGACACAAGTTGAATACTCTCCTTATTAAAGAATGCATACACTTCTACTGATTTTTAAAATGCAATTAATTCACTTACTTTGCGTCAAATTCTTTCAAACCTCTAATATTTATAGAAAGATGGTTCATAGCTTTGTCCAAGCTTTAAAATGAGGTTGAGACGAGAACATTTTGAATTTATTTTCTCGTTTTTGACATTTAACTCTACTAAGATACAAAGAAGTCATAGATAATCTGACGCTTAATTTGGTAAATGTTGTGAGAAACGATCTTTCCTACAAATTTTAATTTCTGTTAGATTCGATTACAACGAAGCTATTAATTTGTGATGCATTATCTTGTCACTTTTTGACTGAACCCATATTGTGAACCCATAGTGAACCCATTTTGTCACTCATTTTGACCCATTTTGGTGGTCAAGAGGTTTAAAGATGAATGTGTTTTACATATGACATTACATTTTACTAATACTGCATTGTATGTTATTGTAATTGTATGTATAGTTTTAGTTTTATTTTATCATGTTTATTTGCTGTACACTCACCCGAAAGGGATTTTTAATACAATAAAGCATTGAATATATGACATACATGTAGTATGAACTTTAATAAATGAAGAAATCATTCAACACAAGTAGTTTATAAAAAGCCAGACGGTTTTCAGAGTAGCAACAATTTTCTATGAGGCTTCCTTATTTTGACCCAACAAGCTAGAAAAATTTAATGGACAAACCTTGTTATTTTCTCAATTGGTTCCGAAGAAAATGAGACGGCTCGATATTTCTCATCACGTCCTTCAAAAATGTCTTCCACTTCTTGTGCTCGCAGTAGGGTAATATTTGTCGCTAGAGAATGTTGACCTCCTAAACCAACTGAAAAGAGAAAATGTAGCAGGATATTATTTTGTTTTTATTTAGTAAAATCACATAAACATGTTTTTTGTTGTTGTTTTTTTGTTGGTTTTTTGATTGATTTGGGAGGTATATATCACTTCCTGTTTTTTTTTTGTATTTACATGGTATATTTATATAATGTGCATTGCATCATTTTACATCAACATGGCAAGCTTTAAATAATATTTCTATCACATTGTGTTAAATATTTACAAGTACCTTTCTGATTAAATAAACATGTTAACATAACACTGTTGAAGACTATTCAAGATGGTTTATGGCTTATCACATTTTATTAGAATTCTGTGAATCGTCATGGAATGCTTTTACCTTCTGGATGGTGAATTCATAAGTTCAATTCTCAGGATTGAACTTTCTCAAAGAATTAATATGTGTGTGGTATTTGATTGGATTACATTATAAATAAATAAAAATGAAATATTGTCAAACGAATTGGAGCAGAAAATCACTGCTGAAACTTTTTATTACTTTTCACTTTAATGCATATTAGGATAACAGAATCAATAAAGAAGGTGCAAGACATGAGGCATTTATCCCGAAAAAACTACAAATTGGGTGACAAACATTGTGTCCCGGGGTTTCGATTTCTGCAATTTCTGGCTTAACAGGCATGGTATGATAATTTACACAGCATACAAATCAACATCTTGACTTTCGTTAGAAGCGGGGAAGCTTATTAATTATGTTTTATGATAGACATTGAAATATTGACCCACACCTTATACAAATGCAGATAGTGTCCAGGTAAAATCAAAGAATTCTCTCTTGATTAATCATAAGAAAAAAGATTCATATTCCATTCAAGGGATACAATTTAATATATAATTTGACATTTGATAACTAAGGACATATTTCTTATTTCAAACTGCTAATTAAACCCCTTGCAAATAAATATTAATTTAGCCATGTTTGACTCTGTATGGTCATCCCAAAAGCACTTTTTTCACTTTTAAGATTTTAATCTTTTTTTCCACCTATTTGCATGTGGTGGAGCATAAAAAGCTGCTGATCAAGATAATAAACTATAAAAATAAAAATAAAAATTAACTAAATATGAAATATTTTGAAACAACATACCATGAAAGAGCCTTGCTTAAGACCCTGGACCCCCCCCCCAATCTACTCACTCACCAGGGGTGTTGTACGTATAAGGATGGGGTCACAGTCTTAAAACAAGACTAATCTTAAAGGTTTTTATTGATAGGTAATGAGGATAATAAGTTACTCTTGTCCTTACATATCAATATTCAACCTGAAGTATCACATTACCCAATTAGTTAGAATCTAACCATAATTCTAACATCAAATAACCTTAAGGGATCATATTTGTATATAATTGCCCCCACTTATAATCTAACTGTAATTCTTGCATGGATAACCTTAAAGGATCATATTTGTATCATCTCACCTTTATTGAATTTATTTCACAAAGTTAACACCTAAGATACAAATAATTATTTTACCTTAGTTATTAAAAATCTTTCGGAATGCCTCCATTTCAAAATATCCTTTAGAAAAACATTACAAAGGATTTAAAGCAAACACCATTCAGAAATCCTTTAAGTGATATCAAAGCAATACACTTCAGGAAAAGCCTCAATATCAAAGCAATACCCTTTACAATTACCTCAATATCAAAGCAATGACCTTTATAATTACCTCAATATCAACGCAATGCCCTTTACATTTACGTCAATATCAAAGCAATGCCCTTTACATTTACCTCAATATCAAAGCAATGCCCTTTACATTTACCTCAATATCAAAGCAATGCCCTTTACATTTACCTCAATATCAAAGCAATACCATTAACAATTACCTCAATATCAAAGCAATACACTTTACAATTACCTCAATATCAACGCGATGCCCTTTACATTTACCTCAATATCAAAGCAATGCCCTTTACATTTACCTCAATATCAAAGCAATACCATTAACAATTACCTCAATATCAAAGCAATACACTTTACAATTACCTCAATATCAACGCGATGCCCTTTACATTTACCTCAATATCAAAGCAATGCCCTTTACATTTACCTCAATATCAAAGCAATGTCCTTTACAATTACCTCAATATCAAAGCAATGTCCTTTACAATTACCCCAATATCAAAGCAATGCCCTTTACAATTACCTCAATATCAATGCAATGTCCTTTTCAATTACCTCAATATCAAAGCAATGACCTTTACAATTACCTCAATATCAATGCAATGCCCTTTACAATTACCTCAATATCAATGCAATGCCCTTTACAATTACCTCAATATCAAAGCAATGACCTTTATAATTACCTCAATATCAACGCAATGCCCTTTACATTTACGTCAATATCAAAGCAATGCCCTTTACATTTACCTCAATATCAAAGCAATGCCCTTTACATTTACCTCAATATCAAAGCAATGCCCTTTACATTTACCTCAATATCAAAGCAATACCATTAACAATTACCTCAATATCAAAGCAATACACTTTACAATTACCTCAATATCAACGCGATGCCCTTTACATTTACCTCAATATCAAAGCAATGCCCTTTACATTTACCTCAATATCAAAGCAATACCATTAACAATTACCTCAATATCAAAGCAATACACTTTACAATTACCTCAATATCAACGCGATGCCCTTTACATTTACCTCAATATCAAAGCAATGCCCTTTACATTTACCTCAATATCAAAGCAATGTCCTTTACAATTACCTCAATATCAAAGCAATGTCCTTTACAATTACCCCAATATCAAAGCAATGCCCTTTACAATTACCTCAATATCAATGCAATGTCCTTTTCAATTACCTCAATATCAAAGCAATGACCTTTACAATTACCTCAATATCAATGCAATGCCCTTTACATTTACCTCAATATCAATGCAATGCCCTTTACAATTACCTCAATATCAAAGCAATGCCCTTTACAATTACCTCAATATCAAAGCAATGAACATTACAATTAGCACAATATTAAAGCAATGCCCTTTACAATTACCTCAATATCAAAGCAATGCCCTTTACAATTACCTCAATATCAAAGCAATGCCCTTTACAATTTCCTCAATATCAACGCAATGCCCTTTACATTTACCTCAATATCAAAGCAATGCCCTTTACAATTACCTCAATATCAATGCAATGTCCTTTCCAATTACCTCAATATCAAAGCAATGAACATTACAATTAGCATGCACAATATTAAAGCAATGCCCTTTACATTTACCTCAATATCAAAGCAATGCCCTTTACAATTACCTCAATATCAATGCAATGTCCTTTTCAATTACCTCAATATCAAAGCAATGAACATTACAATTAGCACAATATTAAAGCAATGCCCTTTACATTTACCTCAATATCAAAGCAATGCCCTTTACATTTACCTCAATATCAATGCAATGCCCTTTACAATTACCTCAATATCAAAGCAATGACCTTTACAATTACCTCAATATCAAAGCAATGACCTTTACAATTACCTCAATATCAAAGCAATACACTTTACAATTACCTCAATATCAAAGCAATGCCCTTTACAATTACCTCAATATCAAAGCAATGCCCTTTACAATTACCTCAATATCAATGCAATGCCCTTTACAATTACCTCAATATCAATGCAATGCCCTTTACAATTAGCACAATATCAAAGCAATGCCCTTTACAATTACCTCAATATCAATGCAATGCCCTTTACAATTACCTCAATATCAAAGCAATGCCCTTTACAATTAGCACAATATCAAAGCAATGCCCTTTACAATTACCTCAATATCAATGCAATGCCCTTTACAATTACCTCAATATCAATGCAATGCCCTTTACAATTACCTCAATATCAATGCAATGCCCTTTACAATTACCTCAATATCAATGCAATGCCCTTTACAATTACCTCAATATCAATGCAATGTCCTTTTCAATTACCTCAATATCAATGCAATGTCCTTTTCAATTACCTCAATATCAAAGCAATGACCTTTACAATTACCTCAATATCAAAGCAATGAACATTACAATTAGCACAATATTAAAGCAATGCCCTTTACAATTACCTCAATATCAAAGCAATACACTTTACAATTACCTCAATATCAAAGCAATATACTTTACAATCACATGTACCTCAATATCAAAGCAATGCTCTTTTAGCTTTATAAATACTGTAACATTGCAGAATTGCACTCTTAAGATATACCTTATTATAAAAGCAATAGTTTAGAAATGCCTCAATTTCAATTTCTCAAGTAATCCACTTTTAAAATAATGCAATGGATACTGCAGTGCTCATCAACAGTAAAATCCAACAGCATGTCAACTGATATGTAACACTGTCTGTAAATTCTGTTGTCATAGTAACAAGATATTCTGGGTCAATTTTGTTTGATAATTTTATTACAAAATTATCATTTAACTTTTGTGATAAGGAAAATTGGCAATTGCTAGGGTATAATCAAGTGTGATCTTTGTTACCGTGCCAATGATCATAGACAGACTAAATATTACAATATCAGGGGATGTACCATTTATGGGGAAACCATATCAACTCAACCAGCCCTTCCCACAACAAAACTTCAAATCTCTTTCTTTATAACTCAACAATGGCAATTTGTTAAAATGTAACTGATTGATTTTTAGAAATAAATTTGAAGTATGTAAAAAAAAAAAATTTTTTATAACTTTGTTCAATTTTAGGAAACATGTTACAAACTGCTGAGCAGTATACCAAATAGTTTTTAAGTTGTAGTAATTTAGCACTTGCACCTTGTTTTATGATGTTATGGTCTCTATATTTTTGAGTAATGTGTTTCATGAATAATTTGTGTTAGAAACATTCAAAGTCAATACTAGAAAAAAAAACTCAACAGGGGTGGGGTGTGTACAAAGATCCTAATGTTGGAAATTTAAAAAAATAAATCGACAGTATATGCATGTATTATAATATCTTTTGTTATCTTAAAACAATGAGTCCTGATTTCAAATCCCCTTTGCTCACTAAATGGTTGATCCCTCAGACAGAAGAGTACATGATATATGTGGAAGAATGAAGTCAAATTAATAGGGGGAAAGGAAAACAAAAATTGTTAAATATAAATCTTGGGTCATAAGAAATGTAAATGTAAATAAACATTTTACTTCTCTCCATACGGGGACATAGATTCTAACAAAATAAACCATGACTGTTTTCCATGACTGTTGACAAGACATTATACCTTCAAATACAATATACACTGAAAATCAGTCGCATCCTAGAAGTTGCATTGGGGTGCCAGTAGCAATACTTAATGAAACGTCACACAGATAATACACAGTATAATAATGACATGACGTGAGTGAGTGAAAAATAGAACCTGGAGAAATTAAAACAAAGAATACAGCTTGTTAAATATTAAATATTTATAAGACCAATTAACTGAGGTGAAACAACAAACTGGACATGACAAGCTTCATGTAGTCTATTAATTATATCAAGGTACCAAACGGATATGACAAGCATCGTGTTATGCTATTGAACCTGAACCTTTTATCAAGGTAGGATTATTTTTTAATCAATATTGTTTATTGTTTATTAGAGTTGATTTTCTGTAATTTTGTCATCTTTATTTCAACAAATTCTGTAATCAAATGAATTGATGTGCATGATGACTATTTTCATTTAATTTTCATGATAACATTATTTTCCAATTCGATAAAATGGATAATATTCACAAAATTTTATTTGGATGTTCAACAAGTAATTCAACAAACATAGTTCAAAATTGAAATAAAGTGTTAAAATTAAGTTGAAATGATATTTCCACAAATTGCTTTTTAATTTTTTTTAAAATGCAGAACGACCTTTAGGCATTTTATATTTACAGCTATATTGAGAATTTGTATGTCATGCTTGTTTATTTTTAATAGTTCTTTGTCAATATTACCTTTCACTAGAATTCATATTTTGAAAGAACATTGATGGATGTTTCATTTACATAAGAATGTGACTCATGGGGATGTGATTCATGGGGAAGTGTTCATATAAAAGGTATTCACATTAAGGGGTTTGATATCCTATGTGCCAATGGAACTTAAAAATGAGTTAAGAGGTGTTCATATTTTTAGAGTTGATCATATCTTAAAAGGTGTTCACATTTTGAGTGGTATTTTCATTTTGAAAGGTGTTCACTTTAAGAGTGGTGTTCATATTCTAAGAGATGTTCACATTTTGAGAGTTGTTCATATCTTGAAAGGTGTTCACATTTTGAGTGGTATTTTCATTTTGAAAGGTGTTCACTTTAAGAGTGGTGTTCATATTCTAAGAGATGTTCACATTTTGAGAGTTGTTCATATCTTGAAAGGTGTTCACATTTTGAATGGTATTCTCATTTCGAAAGGTGTTTACATTTTAAGAGTTGTTCACATCTGGAGATATTGTTTACATTTCAAGAGGTGTTCATATTTTAAGAGGTGATCACATCTTGAGAGGAGTTTACATTTAGAGAGGTGTTTATATTTCTAGCAGGGTCCATTACCTGCATATTGAACCCTTTTCCAAAATCCAATAGATATATTATTTGTACCTAGTTACCCCATAAAAAGGGATATGTAATTTATGACCTTAGTTAGAGCAATCCTTTGATTACATATGCAGTGTGGTTAAAATACTTGGATAGATTTTGAAATGTGTCAATTTTCACAATTGCGTTTATTTTTTTTATTAAATAGTATATAATTATGAATTATGAAATACATTTGACCTTATACACGAGCACATACCATACATAGAAGCATTTGCCGAAAACCTTTGTTTAAAATTTATGATGAAACATTGTGATGGTTTTTGAGGACAGCATATTTCTACTAAGTTCATTTACCTGTGACACAGTAGGAAATCAGAAAATTAAGAAATTATGAAATTACTTGTAAAAGACAACAGGCAAAAGACATGAGCAAAATTTAGGAGGAATAAAATAGATGTAAAGAAATCTTGGATGTATTAATGAATGCGAAAAATTCAGATATTTTGTTCAAATTTTACAGAGAAAAACTAGAGAAACGGTTTTGAGCAGACGGCCCTGAAACCACAATCCATTTGGTACACAGACTATAAAAGATTTCAATATCACACCACTGACCACAAACTAAGTTGCTCACAGCCTACCAAACTGAACAAGCAAGGTTATTATTTCAACGCCAAAATGTGGGTATCGTGGTTAGTCGTATTGACCATGCTACAACAATGCACCTTGGGAAATGCACGTCGTAAACGGACAATTGAGGACAAAAACTTAGGATTATTGTTTAAATCTGCACCAGAGATGTACGAGGATTTTCCCCTTGAGGCACAAAAACCAATACCACATTGGTTACAGGGACAACTGGTACGTATGTATGAATTTCAGAAAAAAAACTGTTGTCATGCTTTTTCATGCTATTTCTCTCTAATATTTAAATAAACTGCCAAATTTTCTTTCATTTCAATACAATTTAGAGTTTTAACTACATGTCTGTATCATTTATTCCTTGCTAATTCCACCATTTTCCACTTTATTTTCATTTTAAAACATGATCACCATGACAACCTTCATTATCATACGTCTGCTGAAACGATTTAAAAAAATTTAACTTTCTTATAAAATTTTCTTTCTAGTATGTTTCTATGATCAGATAATAAAAATACAAAAAATGAATCTCAAGATCATGGTTCATAATATTAATTCATCAAGTAGGTGATTCTGGCCACAAGATTTCCCATCCTCCTAAGTAGGTATCCAGAATCCGTACCTTCTTCTTCCCCCTGCTATAACCAATTTGGAAGCGCCCGATTAAACTGAATCTCGTGATCTAATTTTGCGCAATAACTTATACATGATTTCTGTCGCAGTGTTGCAACAGCCAATCAGATTGCGAGTTCTTAATCGGGGAAATGCTAACTGCTTTAATCGCAGGGGAAAAAAGAAAGAATATATTCTGGATTTTGAAGCCCTGTGATCAGAGGATGAAGATTTCCATGATAGTCACATTTTAAAATTTCAAATAAAGTGAGAAATGGTAAAATTTGTGAAAAATCAACTATACAGGCAAGTAGTCAACACTCTAAATTGTAGAGAAATGTCAGAAAATCATGCAATTCATTCATATTTATGAGAGAAAGTGTTACATAAAGCCATGATCTGTAATCTGAATTCTTTTTGCATATGGGTGTGGATGAGGAACTGATGGTTTGCCACACCCTTTTTGTTTTTTGCTTAGGCCCTTATTGGTTAAATTACCAATTAAATGGCTGATTTTAGACTAAATTAACCAGAGAGACAAGTATTTTTTCTTATCCTTTGGAGATTCTACTCCTAAAATCTAAGGCAAGAAAAGATAATAAACATTGAGGTTTTAAATGACCTTGCATTACTTGGAAAAATAGATATAAAAAGAATGTCTGGTCAATAGAGGGCAGTCATGATTCAAGTATTAACAAAAATATCAGAAAAACAACGAAACTGTCAAATATAATTTCCCAAATGGTTGGTTCCTCACTATAGATTATGCTTTATGAACCCTTTTACTAATCTCGATCAATAGACCCCCATCCCCATGCATATGATAAAATTTTATTTTTTGTTTCAGTTCAGAAATGGCCCAGGACAATTTGAAATGGGTGATCGTAAAGTCCACCATATTTATGACGCTTTTTGTAAGATAACGAGTTTCAAGCTTCTGGGTAATAAAACAATATTATACACGTCAAAATTTGTTGGTACTGGTTATTACAGAGATTCAAAGAGATTAGACACTATTGCACCTTATATGATGTTCGATGGAGCCGAGCCGCCATTTTCAACTGTGGAATCAATGGAGGCGCTTTTACATGGAATCGATAACCCGATCACAAGTGTGTACCAGTTAGGAGATAATTCCGCAGATTTTGTAGCAGTTGGTGACTTTTATGAACTCTATAAACTAGACAAACAAAGCTTGGAAACGATTGAGAAAGTTGAGCCTGAGCTCCCAGGCCGTTCTAGTGTATTATCTCTGCTACCGATCCCCCTGCCGTCATGTGGGCACCCCCTCAAAGAATACAACGCAGAAACATTCATCAATTTTGTAAGTGAACTCAGCGTGATACCATTCGTTGATAACACCATCTCAATAGTCAGGATGTTTAACGCCAAGAAAAGAGAGGTCATATCAAGGTTCAAGGTCGATCGGATTCCCTACATGCATTCCTTTGGTCTCACACCAAGTCATGTGATATTATTCGGGGCGCCTATGTATGTCTTAACGTACAAAATCCTCGAAACCATTAACCCTTCTCAGAGCCTTGAGTGGGTCAAATCAGAACCTACGACATTTTACGTAATCAATATTAAAACTGGGAACGTCCAAATTATGAAAACCGAGACAGTTTTTGGGATGCATCACGTCAACTCTTATCACGTTAAACCGCATATTGTAAGAATGGATTTCATAACGTACCCGGATCTTGAATTCACAAAAAGTATGACGTTAGACATAATGATGAACAAAACACGTCGTGATCGTTTAATTCCAGGATCATTACTGAAACGATACCGAATCAATCTACGAACCAATAAGGTTAGAGTACGGGAATTCCCTACAACTCCCGGGAAGGAATATGTCAATTCTCTAGATGTACCAACTATCAATGAGAATTATCGTTTTAAAAAATATTGTTATATTTACGGAGTTGCCCTAAGGGCAGATAATCATACATTAGGGAGCGATCATTTAGTCAAGAAAAATATTTGTCGACGTGGCAAAGACCAAAGTTGGAATAAACCAGGACATTTTCCAACGGAGGCAACGTTTATTCCCCATCCTAATGGGACGAGAGAGGATCATGGGATATTATTGTTAATCGTATTGGATGGTTATCGTAAACAATCGTATTTGTTGATGATCAATGCTAGAGATATGAGACGTGTAAATAAAGTCATCATGCCTTCAACTCTGCCATTTGTGCTCCATGGACATTTTTATCATCAATTATTCAATAGTACTAGTTATAACAATTAAACCAGTTTTATTTAAGGAATAAAGACCGAGATTTTGTGATTTATGGCGTAGTATATGACCGTTCATTGTTAAACCTGCACATCGCTCCAAAACGCAATCTTGGGTTGTTTCGGGGGTGAACTTTATCATTTTGAGCTAAATGAAAGATTATAGAATGATGAACAAATGGGGCAAATCTTGTGTAGAAATACTTACGATAAATGTGTCATTTCAAAGATTTTTCATTGAATTGCTTCGATCGGCGCCGACGATATGATTTTTGAAAGGTTTCTAAATGAAGAACGTGACGTCACTTCCGAATCATAGCATTCAAAATAAGTAGCTTTCAATTACTTCCACCATTCATAATAACGCGGTGGTGTAGCGGTAGAATTCTCGTTTAATGCGCGGGAGGCCCGGGTTCGAATCCCGCATTCGCCTTTTTATTTTTTTTTAACTAAATGATTGTTCTTTGATATTACGCAGAAAAAACAATTTTTAGTTACATAAACTTTATATTAGAGCTTAAAAATGTAAAAACAATATATGTCAACATATTGCGTTTTGGAGCGATGTGCAGGTTTAAAAGACCGAAATCGTGAAGCGAATGAGGCCTTTGGCAATGGCCAGAATAAAATTTGAGGTCATATATTTGACAGAAATCATAAAATTGAGGTCTTTGTTTTGATTCTAATATGATAAACAGACAAGAAACAGAACTATTTGCATTTATGAATTTTAGCAGTCATACATACTCAAATATTGACCGTAAATCAATTGTTCTAGCTATTGTGATGTCGCGTATCATATTAGAATCAGAATTAAAGAGGATTCACTTACTATGTCTGCAACTTTATGTATTCAAATGAACATTAATTACCAGAGTTCTAAACTACCTTATGTAAAATGATCATATTTCTAAATTGACATTCCACAGTATGTACTATGCATAGTCTGTCACGTAATCTATGTTTTTATGTGGGCAAACAAGCTAGATCCATCTGCACTTCAGCTATATAATTACAATTTTAGAAAATATAATTTTTCACTTTTGTGTCTCAGAAAATGCTGTGTGGGTGCACTCATTAAATTGGTTTATATCCCCCCCCCACATGATTCTCTAAGACACAAAATCATGAATTACGGGGACATAAAGAGATAAATATTTGGAGATTTAAATCATCTTTACACAATGACAGTACAGGACAAGTTTCACAGATATATAGATATATAATTACTATATAGTCCGAAAAAGTGTATTTTCATAGCCGGAGTGCAGACAAATCAAATTGATTCGCCCAAATAAAAAAGCCAGGTCATGTGACAGACTTTACGTCCCATAATTTTCTGTCTATGAAAATCATGACTTCTTAGCTAGTTGACTGTTCTAAAGGCCCTCTAAATTGGGGGTATATTTTCAAAAAGTATGGAAAGCTCAAAATCAGTTTAAACAGATATATTAAAGTCTTCTTTTTTCAATAATTAAAAACAAGGTCTAACTCTAAAAATCGGAAGAATTGAACCCAATACAGTGTAATTTGAGTCTGATATAATTACAGAATAATACTAAAAAGCCAGGAATAGATTCATGAATAAATTAATTATATACATTATTGTGCATGATAATCATATTATGTATCTGACCGCAAACGAATGGATCATGAAAAAGGTATTATGAAAATGCTGTTTATCTTCAACTTTATCCACCCACAATATCACTGCGGTTATCTCATAATAGATTTATATTTCAAAGTTGATCATTAAAATGAAACAGAATACAATATTAATGTGAATGTAAAAGATCTGACTTCCTAAACAGATAATTTCTAAGATATCATTTCAATGCAATATGTAATGTATGTGCAATTTCAAAAACATTCTTTAAAGGCCCCATCTAAAGTTTGAAAATATGTTTTTATCATTCATTTACTATTTTTCATATTTTGTATATTCTAAGAAAGAGATTTATAGATAAGAAATCTGATTTGTTTATGAAATGTAAAATATAAAGTAGAACATCTCTATTAATGGAAAAAGTTTCAAAGTCCTTTCAACCATTCACTTATGTTAAATGAACCTAAGTAAGTGAAACAGCTTCTACATGTAAGTTGAACATTTTCTAATGGAGAACTTTTTCTAAGTGGAACATTTTCTAATGGAAAACATTTTCTAAGTGGACCAGTTTATTTTTTTGGTCCCAGACTCATTCCACTTATCAGTGTTTTGCTCCACATTATTTTGTGTTGTTTTCTTGTAATGAAAACGTACAATTGCTTTCACCACAACTTTTAATTTAAGGGAGGGATGATTCCCAAAGTAATGTTAACAGTTTTCAAGAATGGAGTTAATGGACTAAGATTGAGGTTTTATCATGGTTTCCAAGTGAAAATAAATTTTCATATATTGATTGGAAAATCAACACTTTAAATGTTGTTATTTTAGGGAAGGGGGGGGGGTTAACCAAAACAAACATAGTTTTCTCACAACTGTTGAACATTTGACATCATCCCTTAACATGTTATTTCCAAGTAAAAGCTGGCGATATAAACACTTTTGATCGGATGATTTTGTGACGTCATGTTGCCAGATTTTGTCTAATAAGGATAGAAGTTGTTTACTGATCTCTTCCTTTTGGCTTGTTTTTATTTTTTTATTTTAAGTTCTATAAAATGTAACTGATTTCTGATATCACAGTAATTTGATCCCAAAAGATAAAATAAAGTTACAAAATAAAAAAAATAAAATCTAAGAATAGTGTTCTGTTGTTTATCTTATTCTCAACAAAGTTCAAGGTCATTCTGGACATGATCCCAACAATTGGCGTGATTGGACAGGAAAAGGTTAACATGTAACCAGGAAATAAGAATATATACAACAACACTTGTTGTAGACGTAAACATAAACACCTAACCAGAAAGAAAAACTCCTACAAAGCAGTCATACTGTAGAAGTGGAAACTTTAACGACGTGGAAACTTTGGCGAAATTTAGCGTTAAAGGAGAGACGCCAAAATAAAAATTCGTAGAAAAATATGAAAAAATATCGGTGGGCGATAATACCGTGAAGAATACAGATCGAAATCCAGATGATGAATTTCGTTTCGAATACATAAATAATACATACATCAGTGCTTCCTCATCGATTTACAATCATAATTAATACCTATTTTGTTTTGCAATCATGTTTTGTTGCCCTAAATGATGAAAACAATACAGAAATAATTCGATTTTTCGATCAAAAAATCTGTTATTTGATTGGATATCTACTGTCACGTGACAACTTATCACTAACATGAATGATACGATTATTTTATGAGAATATACTAGTATTTATTCCTAATAATAATGATAAATAGAATAAAGTTTGATAGTGAATTAGCCGAGTTTGTTACTTATTTGATTGTTTGTCGGGTATTAACACCTACTGTATGGTTTGAGCACATTGATTGGGGATTACACACAAACATAAACGACTTATCTTTGATGGTGACACGCCATTCCTCGAAAGGCAAGTTAATTATAGGGCTAATAACGGTGATATAGAGCTAATAACTGTGGTATACATGTTTACAACTCGGGGTTTACAAAACTGCAACCAATCGTGTTGGTGAATAAATGCTTCATGATAACCTAATAATAAGCTTATAAGCTCGCCCAAGTAATTTTCCATTTTCTTGATTGCTGGTCCGGGAAAGTTTAATTCGGCAATAGAGTTTTAGGGACCATCTCGCTAAAGTTTTGTTTCGCTAAAGTTTCCACTTCTACAGTATTTTAGGATGGAATATTTACAGTAAAACCTATCTAATCCGAATGCCTCTGTTACTGGCCAAAAGAGTTCAGATTAGCAGGTGTTCACATTACAAGGTTTTATTAATATGTAAGTCAATGGGAGATAACAAATTTGGGACCGAGAAAAAGTGTTCACATTGAGAGGTGTTCGGATTAGAGAGTTGTTCAGATATACAGGTTTCACTGTACTACAAAAAGCTGAACTGTCTCGTCAAATGTATCTATGCTTGAAGTTGTGAATACAACTTTCATCTGTCAGCTACCAGATTAACTTACTATTTTTATGACCAACTCATTTAAATAATATGAATGGAATAATAGCAGGTACTATTCATATTTAAATGAGATGCTCTGTTTATGTATGACAAGTTTTACATATGTTGACACAAACACTGTCTACCACATGCCAGTCACAAAAATTTGACGATAGAAATATGTCACCAATTCTTGATATATGATGACATAAAACGTATAATTACATCATCCAGCTACAAAATTAAAATATGTTAAATGTAACCTTATCTTGTAATTCCTTTGGCCTAAGTACAAGAAATTAGATGACAGAATTATGTTAGTTTAGTCTATGTTAGTCTAGAAGAATCCTGATAAATCATCAGGAATTAAGTCAATGAAAAATTCCCAACGCCAAAACATGTGATCAGATATTTTAGGGGTGGAACATTATGTATGAGTGGACCAACATTTTTTAAACCAAGCAACTTTATTTATCCTCATATATGTTGCTACATGTTGGAATTCTATAATTTTTAGTGGTATAATACTGATTTTACTGATTTGGTCTTATACTCAAAGACCACACAAACACAGTTATGGCATAAACCAATCAAATAATATATGACATAGACCAAGCTAAAATATGGCATGAACTAGACAAACATTTGGCATAGACCAAGCAAACATATGGCATAAACCAGTTAAACAAATGGCATAGACCAGGCAAACAAATGACATAGACCAGGTAACATACTTAGATCAGGCATATGGCATAATCAGGAAAACACTTGTTCATGCTATGATATACTGATAGAAGCTACAAGAAAGACTGATATATATGTGATACAATCCCAGGGGTTGTGAACCACAACTAAATCAATGTATGTTACCATGGAAATTATGACACCATAGGAAGAGTGAAACAGATGTAGTATCTACCCTTATTTATGGAAATATATGTGAGAAAAATCAAACCGGGCCCCTTGCAGAGATATAGATATTTCCCTCAAGATAAACCCAATATCTAAAACCTCACAGTTAAGAACTCTAATATACATGTTCAATATTATGTTGAACAATGACTAAAAGTCATTGTACAAGTTTATGCACCCTGTTTAACGATATAAACAACATACACAAACTACAAATTATTAATTGAGTTATTAGTCACACAACTGTGGGTCAAATATTCCATGGTTTCCCTTTCAATCTGAATGGTAAAATTAATATTATGGGGGATTTGTCATATTACTGATTTAAGCATCAGTCACATTTGCTCTACGGCAGCCGTAGCTTCACAAAATCGGTATAGATAATCACATTGTACTGCTTATCCCTATATTTTATGCAACATTTCTCTCCATTTTGGGAAGCTACAACTACAGCTGCAGTATGGTTGCCATGGATCATTATAGTTATTGTGGAATTTAAACCCTCAAAGTTTGATACCAAATTACTGTCAATGACCCTTTTCACGGGGCATTTGACACTGGGACATTTGACCATTGAATATTAGATTTTATGAGATTTGACCCGATTTGACCCATATGGGACATTTGACTATGGGACTTATTACAAAGTAACACTGTAATATTTGACCATAGAAATATTCAACCATAGGACATTTTACCAAAGAACATTTGACAATGGGACAATATACCATGGAACAGTTTAGCATGGAACAATTCACCATGGATCATTTAATCATGGATCATTTAACCATGGAAATTGAACCAGGGAAAATTAGACCACGTAACATTCTACTCTGGAACATTCGACCATAGTATATTTTACCATGACACATTTGATATAGTACAGACTTAAATGACACAAGACTGCATGCATCTATTAGCTATTAGGCAAAAAATCCCTAAAAGAAATGTTAAAATTATTCTAAATGGCATTCAAGGTCATAGTTTGAAAGTAAACATCAGAAGCGGTCAACGATCAAAGATTCACAACAGAAGGCAGGTCATAATCAGGTATTGTTTGTGTTTATGAACTTTGCGTTTATGTTTTTGAATAAATAATTTTAATAAAAAAAAAATAATAATAATCAAGTAATTTGTTTTTCATTTTATTATATTACATTATATGTTAATAAACTACATTGCTCTAATGGCATGTTACGTGACAAAAGATTTAATTTCTAATTGTTGTTGATGTCAAAGTGATCATATTTCCAAGATTTTCATGTTGTAGCTGATATAACATTTATGAAACTGCAATAATTGCATGTACCATGCTCTTTCATGATGTAACAATAAATATCATATTATCATAGGCAATTGTCAGGTTTATATCTGTGATATTTTAGAAGCAAACAGTGAACAATCATTTGTGCCAATCAGTACGTTTAACAAAACTCAAGGCGATTGTAATGTTATTCCAAGAATGGAATCAAACAGGCTGTAATCCACCAGAGCTTGAAAATAGGTTTTCAATCCTCGAAAATTCAAGACATCGTGAAAATTAACATATTTTGACACAATTTTGAGGCATAATCGTAAAATTGAGAATTTTTTAACATTCTAGAAAAACACTGAAGTACCCACGTTGCCATCTATTAGCAACCATGAATATCGTTATAGTAAAATATAGGATATCATAGGAATATCCTATGGTTTTGAAAAAATATCATTTATATCCATGAGTGGATATAAATGATACATTTGAAAAACCATAGGATAGTCCATTTATCCCATGAGAAATCATAATAAGCGAAAGAAAATTGAAAAAATATATTTCAATTTCAATTTTCAATTTTTATGTTTATGTTTATTCATTTCAAAATCACCCGAAGAATGAAATAGGCATGAGTAGGTCACATGGTAAGCAAGTGTGTACATTTCAAAAAAATTATTTTCTAATCCTATCATATTCCAATTGTTTAATGTTTCAGCTTTCCTTTGGTATATGCATTATGTTGGTAGTATATATTGTTGTTGAGATGTCTGGATGTCACGATCCCTGTTGGCACTTTTACTGAATCTCCTTCATTATTTCATTAATGTATTTCAACCAAATCATATGAAAAACTGAAAGTTATCAAATACTGACCTGCCATCTATATGAGTTCTTCTAACTATTTAGAGAAATTACGTTTACTTTCAAGTTATGACCATATTAGGAGGTTAGGATTTCTACTGTCAATATTTCGTGCATAAAATGTCAGCAAAGCGTGCGAAGAAAAATCCCTCAAAAATTGTATTTGCATGTTTGACTGTGACCATTTTTGATTGCCCATTATGACCATTTTTGATTGCCCATTTTGACAATCTTTGATTGCCTATTTTGACAATCTTTGATTGCCCATTTTGACATTTTATTCACAAAATATGTAGGTACATTCACCTTTTCGTTCCTTGCCCTTTGTGTCAGTTGAACTAGTGCGCGGAACTGCAAAATATATTGAATCCTATTATTTTGCATGTGCTAAGGGGTCTTAAATTTACCATCCCCTTAGGGCATAATGTATGACTCTAACCAAAACATTCAGGGTTGATTTCATAGAGTATTTAAATCTTTGTAAATTATTTAAAACAATTATATACCCCAGTTCTAAGTATTCCCAATTTTTGGATTTGGTTGTTAATACTTTTTACATATAAACAATGCAAGCAGAAGCAAAACAATACACTACATTTAGAAAAATGTCATAACTGTCATGTTTTAAAATGGAAAATAGAGTGAAAAAGAGTGGAATCAGCAAGAAATAAAGTAAGCGGGCATGGAATCATTACTCCAAATTGTACAGAAATGTCAAAAAATCAGGCAGTTTATTCAAATTTAAGAGAGAAATAGTCTGCCATATAAGTATGACTGGGAAGATTATTAATTTGATGGCCATTGAAATTTTATATATAATTTACTCTTTCTTCTAAAATCTGATTGACCTGTCCTTCCCTGTTTGGCATTTCTACATTCTAATTTTCTAAGCCCCTTTTTATCTTTTACTTGTGACATCCTCCGATCACAGGGCTTCAAAATCCAGAATATTTTCTTTCTTTTTACACCCTGCTATAAGCAGTTAGCATTTCCCCGATTAAGAACTCACAGTTGTGCCAACACTGCGACAGCAATCATATTTACGTCATCCATGCATAATTAAATTACGTGATTCAGTTTAATCGGGCGCTTCCAAATTGGTTATAGCAGGGGGGAAGAAGGAGGTATGGATACTGGACACCTGCGTCTGAGGATGACTTGTGAAGATATGTTCTCTTTTAGAGGTTATCTCACTTTATTTTTCAATTTTAAAATATGACAGTCATGATTTTTTCTTGCAGGCTGAGGGAAAAAATCAAACTCAATGTTTTAACATTACCAAATGAGTACCTTAAAGTTTTAAATCTATTATCCCCGGCCCAAACTTCCCACTTTACCTAAAACATTGATATTTTGACTTGGTTTATAAAGTGAATCCTCCGAACACAGGCCTCCAGAACTTGTGCATCCTTCTTCGAGAAGAAGGATGGAATTAATGTATGATGTCTGGAACCCTACATTCGGAAGATGATTAAAGTGGTACAACTACACTTATCATTTACAAAATATAACTTACTTTTGTCTCCGATACGTTTTCTCTCCTCTAAAGTAACGAGTCTTCGCCATAATGTAGGGTACCTTTTATAGAGTGAACCTCTGAACATGCGCAGATAGTTGCCAACCTATAAAAGAGATAACATTAATCTTTCCCAAAGGAGATTGATTGAAGACAAAATCTCTGACCATGGCGTTATTTCGAACATGGTCGATAATTTACATTACAGATGTCATCCATCTAAGATGAATGACACCTGCCATTTGTTACAGTGGCTGACAGCAGAATGCTGTTACAGACACCTATCGTTGGTTCAGCACTGGACACAAAACAGTTGGAGACAATTACAATATGTTACCACTTCTGGTTTTTAAATGAACTAGCCAGAATCCTATTAGGAGAAATAATACAATGCATGAACTTAGGGGAGGCATAAAAACTTCGATGTCGGATAGAAAACTAAATAAATCTAGTTAGGGGGGGAGAGGGTTCAAACCCATTTCAGTTTGCTATCCGACAAATTTCAACATTTCAAATTTTTGGCAATTTTGACTCAGAATGCCCTGAAATGGTTTAAAAATAAAGATTTTACCTGATACTTTCTTCGTCAAGATCATTCCAATGGATTCTATTCTATCAATAGTTGTTAAAAGCCGCAAATTACGATAGGAATTAACAAAAAACTAGATCGTGTTTAGCAATAATTTTTCAAATTCTCAAACCGGAAGTCAGCGATCAACTTTCATGGTATTTAGTTTTTGGGGGGAGGGGGGGGGGGGTCAGAATCAAAACTAGATTTATTTAGTTTCCAATCCGACATTGAACTTTTGATGCCTCCCCTTAATGACATCGTTTTCTTGTACCATCAAAGGACACAGCTATTCATATTGGTAAATTTGAATACTTCTATTATGAGACAGTAAACAATGAACCAATCAAAATTCAAGAAACTCTGATGAGAGTCTAAATAAAGGCCTATGGTAGGAAAGGAGGACGGAAAGTTTCGCAGCAGATTTCGAAAAGGAATTATTTAATCCTTTATAGGATAGGGTAAAAATCTGGACAACATTTCAGAGAAAACATGTAAGTGGGTCGTTTGGATCTTCCCTGTCTCAAAATCGAAATTATTTTATCATCTCTACGAGTGCTTTTCCTGGAGGTTATACATTGGCCTAAAAGAAGGAGGTACGGATTCTGGATGCCTGCTTAGGAGGATGCACATATGCACCTGATAAAATCCTCAGAGAATAGAACATAAGAAAGTGGGAACAAAGAAATTATAGGTGCATCCACACAACTTGATTTATATCTTTTTATGTTCACATTACTCAAAACTCTGATGATCTCATCCAGTCATCTCACAGGCCTGGCGAACATAAATTACAAATCGAGTCGAATACACCAAGTACTTTACTTGCCGGAGTATTAGTCTCAATTTTTTTATACACATTCCCCGGCCTATGTCTCATCTAGATCTAACAAGCATTACATGGAGAAAGTCTAAGAAAGTCTATATAGTAATCAAATGCTACGATTTTAAATCACTCTGATCAATTTATAAAGGTGTTTTAGTCATTTAGTACTAAATGCACATTGATCCTATGTAACTAGATCCCTGTAGTGAAAAGCAAAGGCACTGGAACAGATATAAAATAACAACCCCCACCCCCCAAATATCTAGTATGTATCCAACAGACTGACTAGAAGTCAGTCTGTTATGATGTACTACTTTCCTGTGGAAATTGCAGTGAAATTTTTTGCACAAAATTATCAATTGGAGGAACCATTTTTTCAATAAAATAAACATTACAAAATTTCAATTAAATAGTAAGGTACAATTAAATGCAATAAAAAGTAACATAGCATATTGTCAAGTGGAAATAAAGCTAGTTGAAGTTTACTCACTTCGAGAGCCATGTTAGATTTTGAAACTTATGGCTCTCAAACGGAGAAGTGAACAGCTGATCAATAGTGACCTTTGAAATTGAATTAAGTCGATCCGCGGCTTACTTTTGGTCTCTAACTGTGTCTTACATCAGTATATCATCAATCCATGTAAGTATTGGAGCGTTGGAGTACTTCTTTTTCGATCAAGACTTGTAAATTGTTCATCGAGTTAAAGTTTTACAGACCTATTTCCAATATGGCGGTTTGCTTGGTGCGAGATACGCAACGAACGAAATGAATTTTGAGAATTAGTTAGGTTCGGACAACCTCCGGAGATTTACGAAAATGTCCGAGCAGAAACCGCCATATTGGAATTTGGCAGTAAAACGATTCAGTCGACTAACAATTACAAGTCTTGATCGAAAAAGAAGTACTCCAGCGCTCCAATACTTACACGGATTGATGATACTGATGTAAGGCACAGTTAGAGACCAAAAGTAAGCCGCGGATCGACTTAATTCGATTTCAAAGGTCACGATCATTGAGCTGTCCAAATGCTCCGTGGGAAAGCTATTATATCAAAATCCAAATAGCTTTCGCAGGAAGTAAGTTGAAGTAACAAATGTGCAAATTAATTTTACCCAATCGGCCATTTTGAATAGCACTTCCTATGTAAACAAATATATAGAATTGCCAAACTTTAACATAGGTGCCTTATAGTCTGAATATAATTCAGACTAAATAGGATATAGTCTACCCAAATATCTATGTATGCATAAGACAACAAAAACAACAAGTGTACCAAGGAAAACGATTCGTGGTACCATAGAGTCGATTCATGGTACGCAGAGAGTGGAAAGTGGATTTTAATTTCTGTCATTTCTACTATGTGTTCCCGTGCCTATTAGACTATATCCTATTTAGTCTGAATTATATTCAGACTATAAGGCACCTATGTTAAAGTTTGGTAATTCCAAATATTTGTTTACATAGGAAGTGCTATTCAAAATGGCCGATTGGGTAAAATCAATTTGCACATTTGTTACTTCAACTAGCTTTATTTCAACTTGACAATATGCTGTGTTACTTTTTATTGCATTTAATTGTACCTTACTATTTAATTGATATTTTGTAATGTTTATTTTATTGAAGAAATGGTTCCTCTAATTGATAATTTTGTGCAAAAAATTTTAATGCAATTTCCACAGGAAAGTAGTACATCATAACAGACTGACTTCTAGTCAGTCTGTTGGATACATACTACCGTGCCTATGGGGTAAAGTAAGTCTAGCCTAGATAGGGGAAAAAAATGAAAAAAAACAAAAGAATTTTCAAAAAGTTCAAAGTATTATGAAAATTTCTCAGGATCTAAATGGTATATTTATACAATTATTACTTGATATGATAGATATATACCTCAGATCCGATATAATAGTATTCACCACCCTCTTCTACTTGAAATGACTTCGGTCTTTCTCCAAATGTTCTCATGCCGATTGAATTTCCGGGAGTAGCCATTGTTTACCCAGGATGCAACGCGATAGTGAAAATTGTCTAAATTACAAACTAGTTTCCGAAATCAAAAACGAAATTTCGAGTTTATTAAATGGACTTGGTTACAGCGGTCACTGGTTGAATTGTTAATGCCTATCGATGTTTAATTATAGGACCATTTAACACCATTGTTAGTTGTTACCTCTTTTTAGATTTTCCCCGTTTGTGATTGATTGCTTCCTCTACTTCAAATGATATAAAGAGTGGCCGAGGAAGTGCTGCCCTCTATCATTAGACGCCATACATCGATTCTATCCAGCATTTTCCTCATGGTGGTATATTGTATCTTTATTGACCGTTTTAAGATTAGAGAGTGACGAATATACTGTACTTAACTTATAAGGTAATTACAATTTATCCCGTGCCAGGACTATCGGGATAAATTACAATTGAAATGTAAAGCTATTTAATTAATCGTGTAGAAACAGTGTCCCGTTTTGCCCCAGTCTCCCCTAAACCCATAAACTCAGAATTTATCAGCGCACCTTTTTATCTTGAGAGGGACTCTGATTTATCATGAGACAAAATAATAATATTTCTACCATATGCTGTATTCTCCAACAATTATCAGTGATAGACGGAACTTTTATTTTCTTGGTGGTTTTGGTTTAAAAATTCATTTCCTATTGTTTAATTTCCGATTAACATTTTTTAAATTAAATATTATGCAAATGTCCACACTTGGTTGAATTATTTAGGAGGTAATTACGTTTGCAATTTTGGTCACACTTATTGTCTGTTTATGCAGGCCTATCAACTTCACTGTTCCACAACTAGTTACCTTGACGGAACCCGTGGGGAAGTGCCTCTAAAGTGGGTCACTTTTCGCCGAAAATCCCAAGATGTGGGTCCCATTTTGAAGCAAAAATGGTTCCCATTTTGATGAAAAAAATCCCTAGAAACTAGAAACTTTAATTTTCTTGGTGGTTTTGGTTTAAAAATTAATTTTCCTATTGTTTAGTTCCAATTAACATTTTTAAATTAAATATTATGCAAATGTCCACACTTGGTTGAATTATTTAGTAGGGAATTACGCTTGCAATTTTAGTCACACTTAGTGTCTGTTTATACAGGCCTGTCAACGAACTTCACTGTTGCACAACTACATTAATTTGTAGTTACTTTGATGGAAGCTATGGCTATATGGGGACGTGCCGCTGTGTGGGTGGGTCACCTTGGGTCACCTTTCGCCGAAAAATCCCTAGATGTAGGTCCCATTTTAAAGAAAAAAAACTCTAGATATGGGTCCCTCGCCTATTAACATGGATCCTAGCCACGCCCCTTTTATTTGGTTAAAATATATGATAAAATAATCAAACAATCATTTGAACGTGAATTTGGAATTTACGTCTCCCTATAAACGTATCATGGCGCCTTAGAATCACTATAGATATTTTATTAGTTTCTTTGTAACACTTTCTCTGTTATTAAAAACCAGGGTCAGACTTTCGTAAATAGAAAGGATAAAATGCAGGGTACCGTGAATTATAAGGTCCACTGTTCGATGTATATTCTGATTGTTAACACAACGTCAACTGGTTGCTAGTGTGATTTTGAAATGACGTCACTGTTCAAAAGTTGTTGATACCATTACGTCACATCAAAACACATCTATACTAAAAAATGTTCAATGATGTCATAGTGTGCATTATTCTCATGACCAATCAGAATCGTTGAAATCGTCATGGATATAAAGATAACAATAACATTGTATCCAAAGTTAGGAATTTGATGAGATAGCAGTTGTGGTTTTAATTTCTCACTTGAAATAAATAAAATCAGATAAAGATGGCAATAAAGAAAGTACAAAAAGCATGGAGACGATTGAGAATGATTTTCTCAAAGAAACGCACAAATATCATGGAGATTGGAACTGACTTATCTATTCCTGAGCATTACGAAAGTAAGCAGTCAATATCATTTTGATACTCAGCATATTTCTGTTTCACCTAAAACATGCATCTCAGGGATGAGAAGAAATAAGATGTCATGGCTGATCTCATGATGTCATGGTTGATCTCAAAATGTCATGGTTGGATCTCATGATGTCAAGGTTGGATCTCATGATGCTTCAATAAATTGGATTTGATGATTTCTTTCCCTAATTGCTTGGTTATTTTCTAACTCCGCATTAAGCAGAGATTGGAAGTTAACGTGCGAATTATATATTATATTATCAGTAACTGGTATATGTAATATAAGATAAATGAAAAATAATTATTTTTTCAGATGAGAATGAGTTTTCATTCGTCGTGGCCAACAGGTTATCTGAGGCAGTTGCTGAAAGAGGTATGCCATTCTATTCATTCCATCAGTTTGATTTCGTTTCTTCGAGTTTCAGTAACTACGATGATATCATATCTAAGCATTTAAAACTTTTTCGATCTACCTTTACCCATTCTTTTGAAATATCAATTTTCAGAGTTACCCCTGAGATACACTTTAAGAATGTGCATTTCCATTTGATGGACCACGCAAAACTGAGGTCAAAGAAAATAAGTAAATAAAATTATTTTTCCAGATACTTTGAGGGAAGAAAAGGATCACATAGAAACAGAGTTGGAGGTGGAACGCCAGATGTCTGACCGAGCTCAGAATGAAATAGGTAAGTTTTTGCCATGGATAAAGGCCTATGGGCGTTGCCCATTACTAGAACCCCTGGACTAGAACACAATATTGTCTCGATCAGTCTCCCGGGATTAGCCTTATCGTATGGAACACTGAGGTTCATGTTACCACCACAAGTGGTGACATATTGTTATAGTCTCAAACTTTTTTTGGACGGCGTTCTGTAGTTTGTGTTCGAAGTTTAGTGGATGGTGTTCGGCGGGGGTCGGTAACAAATGGCAGGTGGTGACATTTTGAATGTTAATACTTTGTTTGTATTTTGAGTAGTATGCAACTTCACGTTACGACTTATACCCATACAATTCTTTTCACTAAACCTCACTGATTAGACAATAGGATTTTTGATGTTATTATAATGTTGTTGATAATCCCTCCTCCGAACACACGGCTGGTGAGAAGGGACAAGCATCGAGGATTATGTCTGAAGAACTGTCTTTGTTTCATTTCAGATGAGTTAAAAGAAGAAATAGCAAGGCTGAGGGGTTTGGTTGAAAGCACCTTAAAAATTGCTGATCTTAGTCTAGAATATTTTCAAAATAAAAGCCTCTAGAAAGAGAGAGTTCTTACATTTTTGCGAGCACCATAGAGACCTGTATCAAAATAATCCTTTATATCTTACAAACGATTTGTGAGATTTGCCAAAGTGAACGAGGTGTCGAAAGGCACTAATTAGACGATTAATTAGTATAGCATTCCTCATTTCTTAACTAGTTCAATCAATACAACCAGTGTTGATCACCACTTAAATGCCAAAACAGCTATATGGTCAATGTGTCAATTGTTTCATGCTGGACATGTGCCAGTGTTTTGAAAAATCCATAGATTACATTACTCAATCTGGTTTGATTAATTTTACTGAACTAGTAAACCCAATAATCAGAATCACACTACAGCATTGCAGCATTGTCTGCTCCTCAGATTCTCTCATACTGTATTTATAAGTCTGTTATAATTATCACACAGAAGTACATGCTTATTTGATATACGGAATGGTTATTTTACTTTGCTGTAAGTAACCCATAATCAAGTCACGTTGTATTATGTGTTAAATAAGGTAGTCTTGCTTCAAGCCTCTGTGACCCCCCCCCTCTCTACTTGAGTAAACATCTTCTCACACATTGCCTGAGCTAGACACACAACACAGTCAGTCAGATAAACCCGAACTCTCCTCTGAAAAACCCATTAACTTTATCTAGCTATGTTTAGATATTTAGTTACAATCTGTCACCAAGCCTTTACTTGTGAATTATGGACAGTTTGAAACTCTGCTGTAATGAAACTAGATACATGTATCTCTGCTAGCTCACTGCTGACTGCTTGCCTCTAATTTGGCCAGTGTATACCGGTATGTGTATTACACTTACTAGTAACTATATACTGGCTTTTAATCTGCAAGAACTTTAGACTACAGGATTTCAAGATTTAAAGGTTGTTAGTTCAATCTTTCTTTCTTTCTGAACATATACTTACTCTGCCTATCCTTATGATTGTCTTACCATAAATTGGTTAATCTATATTCATAGTTGCTTGGATACAATTCTCTTTACAGAATGTGTAATTTTTTGAAATGATTTTAAATTCTCGTGCATTAATGTGTATTTATAATTTAAACATGTTACTTACCAATAGAGAGGTTGGTGCGGAAAGTCACTTTTATTTGCTAATTTCTCCAGCCCCCATGTTATTTCAATGGGAGTTTTTAACAAAAATTGATAAAAGTTTTGCTAATTCTGATAATTTTGTCTAAATCTGAAAAATCATTTTGCCTGTAGCCCATGTTATTTGAATGTTATTGCTAATAGTGATAATTACCATATGTATCGCTATTGTATCGGTAATAGCAATAAATTTGATAATTATCAATTATCGGTAATAGCGATAAAAAAAATTTTGGTCTGGGTCACATGTTTCCGTGAAATGGGCCCAAGTGAAATTAGCATTAGCTGATAAAAACAGATAATTTTGATAATTATCAAATTTATCGCTTATAGCGATAAATTTGATAATTCTCAATTATCGCTAATAGTGATAAAAAATTTTGGTCTGGGTCACATTTTACCAAGAAATGGGCCCAAGAGAAATTAGCATTAGCTGATAATAGCAGATAATTTTGATAATTATCAAATTTATCGCTAGCGATAATTTTGATAATTATCAAATTTATCTGATATTATCAGCTTATGCTAATATCATGTGTGCCCTGTTTCAAAATTATCAAATTTATCGATAATTGATAATTATCAAATTTATCGCTTATTGATAAAAATTATCGATAGTTGATAATTATCAAAATCGCTAATTGATAAAAGTGAGTTTCCGCACCTAAATAGAGTTTTCCTCCAGTTCCGTTTTGTGTCTTTGTGTGATAGATATTGAAATGGTGATGACATGAATTTGGATATCACTTAATCAGATAGCAATTTTAATTCGTGCGGCCAATATTGACAGACAGACAGACAGACAGACAGACAGACAGACAGACAGACAGACAGACAGACAGACAGACAGACAGACAGACAGACAGACAGACAGACAGACAGACGGACCAATGGATAGATGGACTGACCAACATACAGATGCTTAGTAGATCCCATAAGCTCACTGTATGAGCCAAAAAACCTTTTGAAGTTTGATGATTTACCTGCGCTTATTGAATTATGTCTAAGAAACTGTAAAAAACTTGTGATACCCCTTTTTCATGGTTATAACTTGCATATTAAGACTCTCCATAATTAAACCTAAATTCAATATGATATTATTCAAACCCTTTGTGGAAGGTTAAAGTTAGTTAGTTCAACATGGGATGTACCATTTAGACAACATGAAATTATATTAGTTAATTAACACACTTAGGATTTTACAATTCTGTTCAATATAAGATTAATTGAAACATATCTTAGCAATGTTGTGACTTTGTTGTACAATGTTACATAAAAATAGCATAAGTTCTTGAAGAAATATAGCAAGTAATATTGTGTCAGATAAACATTTGGTACATCCCAAGTAATATTTTGACTGACAAAACAGGGTTCAATTCATTTTAAATGATAAAGCTGTGAAAGCTACTCTTTTTGACGAAAAACTGTGATAACCACACATACAGTAATTGTGGGATCCACTTACTACTTCTTGTTTCTCATAATTATTAACTCCAATTTGCATTTAATCTAATTTTGATTAATATGTTGAAATGGACTGAGAGTACATATACACACATGTATTTCTTCCAGTCAGCATATGAACTTTCCCTGTGATGGAATCAAATTTCAATCCAACAACCTAAAACTGGGGTAATAAATTGTTGCGAATAAACAAAGTGTGTCAGCAAGTGTATGTTGAGACAAGATCAAAGAGCGCTCACTTAGGAGCCCTTAGACCGTCTTTATCTGAAGGACTGAACAGTGCAATTAAGAAAGGATATTTTGATGTACCAAGCTAAGAGGATACTTGGTCTTGATCTTGACTTGTGTGCCATGACTGTAACAAAGAGTTTTCGTAACATGCTTGATATTTAAAATTGATGGTACCAATGAAATTACAGTTAATAAATAAATGAGAATAATTATGAAATAGAAGATGAAGGTAAAAATCACATTAAAATATATGTCAAATGTACTTGTATTAATGATGAGTTCTACATTCATACCAGACATACACTGCACAATGGAATGCAACGCTTATTGGTCAGTGCCAATGAGCCCAGTGTCTAGGATCAAATGTACTGCTAGGTGCAAATATGATAACAGATTGATGCAGTTCAAATCTTTGCTAATTGTTAATATTAAATACTATTTGAATCAACAATTAAGATTGTTAATGGTGATGCTTTCAGTGCTAGTGATAATTTGATTGAGAGAAGTATTTTAAAGAAGATTTTGTATCAAAGGATTTCCTATTTATGATCAATTTTTACAAATTTCATTGACCACGTATCTTCAGCTTGTAATAGAGGATACATTAAAATATTCATTGTAGATATCCACTACATCACAGATAATTATATGGTGTTTTCATTAACTAACGTTTGAACTGGAATATACATAAAACAAAGGGTATACATAGCAGGGCCATAGCCCGCTTTCTACCAGCTGAGGGGGGAGGCTGCGATCGTATTATTTTAAAAATTGGTGCAACTCCTTCAAAATTGAGCTAGAAACTTCAAAAAGCATTCTAAAACTCTCATCTCTTTTATTGGTTGTATTTTTTGGGTGGGGTTGAGATCGCACCAACCGCAACCCCCTTAACTCCTTGCAGTAACGTTAATTCAAGTGCGTTTGAATTCGCAAGATACAAACCACAAGACAATACCTTAAACAGCTTCGAAAATCTCTCAAAATTGATAACAAATAGTTGTTCTCACTTGTTATAATCAATCGGACTATATTTGTTAAAATTTAATTTCAAAAAAGATATTTCAATTTTTGAATTTCTCTTGTAAAAACGCATTTCACCCGAAACACATTTTGACACCTATTTCATCTTGGTAAATCTCAGTATCAATAAAGGAACCCTTGATTAAACATGGTATATTTCGTCAACAAGACTGTATTTCATATAATAATTTTTCTAAAAATGTTTTTTTTTAACATAAACTTATTTTTGCAAAAACTCATTTTTTACCCAAAAACTTACTTCGACACCTACTTCATCTTGGCAAATCTCAGTATCAACAAAGGGACCCTTTACTCTTCAATTATTAACCATGGTTAAGCTGCTCGTCAAAATGTGTTAACGTTGTCATCATATTTTGAACACACTCGTTTTAGATGATATTGCATGCAAATCCCAAAGAAAAAACTATTAATGTCCCAAAATCCCCCCCAAGTTGATTAAACATGGTATATTTCGACTTTTGAGAGTCAACTAGACAATATTTTATATAATAAGTTTTCAAAAATATTTTTTATCAATTTAAAAAGATTTTTTGCAAAAAACACATTTTTTACCCAAAAAGTCACTTCGACACCTTTTTCATCTTGGCAAATCTCAGTATCAATAAAGAAACCCTTTACCTTTCATTTGATAACCATGGTTAAGGTGCTCGTCAAAATGTAAGATGTCATTTTATTTTATACATGCCTATTCTAGACTATCTTGGCACATGCTGCAATGATAGAGGAGATGACGATAAAAGCTCTGGTACTGACACTATTGCACCAGTAACTCCATTTTAAGGATCAGAACTGTTCATAAATACACAAAGCAGCGGCAATATCCACACAAGTTGGATGACTACCACACAAGTGATGCCCTACAGTTCTGGACAAACTCAATCCGGCAAACAAGGCAACATTGGTGAAGATATGGGGATCGATATATATACATGGAGAAAGTCTGAAATGACTTCAACATTGGCGCCTTCCATTCATTTTTAGGTCATGATCAAATTCGAAGAAAAAGCTCATGAACAAGTAAAGGAGCTGATGTTATGAATTATTATGATTGATTGTAAATATTGTATAATCATTGTATATATTGTAAATAAAATTTTAAGTTTATTACACTATTAGTTAAATATTTCTTAGAATCATTGTGCATTATAGTTAACTC